GTTTTGCCATGGTTAATTGCAACGTGTATGCATATCAGATGGGTATATATATATATATATATATATGGTTCAGGCTAGCGTACACCTGGTGTACGGTGTACGCCTGCGTTCACACCTATAAATTAATTATTAATTATTTATAATTTAATTATAATTAAAATAATTATTAATAATAAAGACAATTACAATCATATCCACTCATTAATTGTTGTTTACGTTTTAGTCCCATATCAATTTTTATGATACATTCCACCGAAATCAATCATTTAACTAATAGTCCTCTAAACTATAGTACTTCTTTTGCCAAATTATAAATCTAAACCACCCAAACTTCATAATTATCTACAACTTCACTGCTCCTGCCATTACAACTCATCATCTTGTCATTTTGTCCTCATTTATCTCTTCCACTTCGTCTTCTTCATCATAAGTGAGAGACTGTTTGCATCCTCCTTTCTCCTTCTCGATCCTCCTTTCCCTTATCTCTCCCCCAATTCAGGTCGACTCCACCACTGAACAAACACACCCCTTCTCAAGTCAGACCCCAATCCTCTGTAATTTTTCGGGTTTCTCATCTCTCCAGTTTGAATCTCATCTGCAGCGTTCGATTGATCGATTGAGGCGGATGAACCGCAGTTCTCATGTTGTTACCTTATCTCCCCCAAATCGGATCGATCTAAACCCTAAGAAAAGTTCACACTCACTTCGCTCATCCCCTGAGTCCCCTTTCTTGTTTTGCCTGTTGCATGGAGCATTAGACTACGCCAACATCCCCTTTCCCTCCTGCCCACGAAGCTCTCCATCACCGACGGCCTCCACTCTTGGGTCTGCCACGGTAAACCTATATCTCCCCTTCTCCTAGTTTTCTTCTTCGAATCATATTGACTCTCGTGTTTGAATCTCTCTGTTCCGTTTCTCCAGGTTTTTGTATTATCATCCGAGCTTTTGCTTCAAATTTGGCAGCTAGGGAAGAGGATGTGAGAGATAGAGTGGCGCAGTGGGTCAGCCAGTTTCGAGTATATCCAATTGGCGGAGAAGCACCTGAGGTTTCAAATCCCTGGCTCGGTCTAGAGGTTCGACGATGCCGGCGATGGCTGCAAACGAGTTAGTGATTCGCTTTTTCTATCATTTTTGTCCCGTTTGGAACTGTGTTCAATTTGGTTTGCTTTTGGATTCGATTTACCCCTTATGTGAATCAAACTTCATTATAAGTTAGGAAGATTGAAGGGATTGTATGAAGGGTTTGCTTTCGTTCTATCTAGCTTTGGGGCTGCCATAGGTCTTTGAAATGGTGAGCTTAGTTGTTCTTGACTCTTCTTGTTAGTTAGTACCTAGTGAATAATTCAGTTACTGCAATGTCGCTGGTGGCCTGATTTTGGCTTGAAAGAAGCATATGGAAGCATACAGAAAGGTAGTAGTGATTGACCAACTTTCTCCCATTAGAGTTGAGGCACACACTTGACTTGAGTTTAGTCGACAACACTTGGCTGCTTGTTGCTCTTAGCTCGTGGTTGTTTCATTCTCGCGATTCGTCTCTTGCTGATTTTGCTTGTTAGGTGTAGGTTCTATAGTATAACTAATTCCCTCGTTTGTGGTCCAGTTCCTTGCAGTTCTAAATTCGAAGAAGCGGAAAATTAGGGAGCTTCGAGATCAACTCTCCAAGAAAGAAACTTCGAAAAAGCAGCCAATTCCAATAAAAAATAAGAGCATTACCAAAGTTTTTCAAAGAAGGGTTATCCTAACGTAGGTCTGCTTTTGCCTTAGATCAACCTAAGTTTAACTAAGTTAAACTTAAAAGGAATCTCTATCGCCCTGCCCAGCTCATGATCTAAACGAGTCGCACATACACCCTAGTACATGTTCCTCGGTGCTGAGGGCATCCCCTAAGAGCGGGGGATTTTGTGAGATTTCTGATTGGTTGTCTTGTGTTTCTAATAAGTTGTTTAATAGTTGGCATGTTGAATTGTATGTATAATAAGTCGGTTTAGATCGATCCTAACCGAATATTATTATGAATTCCTTCTTTCTATTAAGTTGCGAATGAACAAGATATTGAGGAATTGTCCATATGTAAAATCATAATTCAAGAAGTAGAAGAAAATGATGATGAAGAGGATTACGAGGAGGAAGAAGAGAAAGGAGCATAGCGATCCCGGGAAGATCGAGATGTACTCTCCGGCTTTCTATGCCTCCTGTACCGTCGGCGATATCCTCAGTTGCGGTCTCACTGACATGGCCGTCACTCCTCTTGAAATCGTCAAGTGAGATATGCAGGTAACATTTGCTCAGATCTGGTAGCGTTTGTTCTTCATTTCTGGATTTCAGATCCTTGTTTGGCTGCTTGTTGCTCTTAGCTCGTGGTTGTTTCATTCTCGTGATTCGTCTCTTTCTGATTTTGCTTGTTAGGTGTGATAAGTAGTTTAGAATGTTGAGTATGAAGGGTTTAGCAAAAGCTCAGTTGTTCCCATGTTGGTAGTGGCTACTTTAGTTCCATGCTAATGCTTTCACTCTGATTTCGCTTAATGAAGAGTTATGATTATTCCTCATTCACCTCTAACCGTTGGAAAATTTGATCATTTGAAAGGCTTAAGGACTTGTTGTCCTAATGCTTCAATTATCAGGGTTTAGTTGGTGAAGGAAAAGTTTGTGAAATGCAGAATCATATATGTCACATAGTTTTGTTCTGGCTAGCTAAAACAGGGAGTTAAGCTGAGTTGTATGGCATGTCATTTTGTGTTCTGTTTCAGCTCTCCTTCTCTTGAAATGGCTAGTCATGCTTTAGGTCCATGTGTTTTTCATTCTCTCTAGTTGGAATAGAGTGAGAGTTGGCTTATTTTTGAAGGTATAAGAAAATTGAAGTCCGATGGAAGTGAGTTGGTCTGTTTCTTGATTTCTTAAGCTTATATTTGTTGGTACTCATGAGTCTTATCTCAGCCCTCATTAAGTATAATGATCAACTTTGTAACAGGAGAGTGCATGATCAACAATTAATCATTTTCACTAGCTTATCAGTAATGCTTGGCTTCCCTATGATTTCAAAACCTCTAGTTAGTTTATTATTTCTTTCAAAACCTCTGGTCATATTCTCTTTGCTAAAATACTTGTAATTCTTATTAGCTATTGTTCTGTGTGACTTTCACGAGCAGGAAGTGCATGACTACCTGAAGAGTTTGTGCCCTGATTTGCATATCACTAGAGGTGAATATGATGAAGACTCTCGCTATCCAGAGACTAAGACACTAACCATTGGCCAATTCAAGCTTGGAATATGCCATGGCCATCAGGTTCGCTCACTACAGCTGTTGCATAATTGTACTTCATTTATTAGCTGATATTTCTCAATTTGACAAGGGAAGGCCGGGGAAGGTAGGATCTAAGAGGGTACTAAAAATGCTGAACCAATTTCATAGCTGTGTTTCGTCTGCTCTTCGGAATCCTTATATTCCATGGTTAATGCTCTGAAGGTTATTCCCTGGGGAGACTTGGATTCACTGGCCATGCTGCAAAGGCGGCTCGATGTGGACATCTTAGTGACTGGTCACACACAATTCAGAGTTTGCTGCTAATTACTGGTCGTACTCTTTAAAAGGTAAGATAGCTATTTGTATGCATAATAACTATATTATCGTGAATGGATTTTTCCCTCTTAAAATTTTAGTTGGATAATTAATTGTTTCCGGTCATTAACAAAGGAAAGATTCATCATTTTTTTTTTGTTATTCTTCTTCATTATTATTTATGGTAAGTTTTTTTATTCTGGATTCTTTATATTATTTTTAGCATGAAAATAGGTTTCATGCCTACATGTTGTGATTAGAAAACTCTTTTCTTGTAGTGTGTATATCACATTGTAGTTCTTCTACCTCGTTTCATGAACTCATTCCACATGCTCTTGCTCGTTCTAATTTCGTTCCATGAATCACTGTTGAATGGGGATAATAGTGGAGTCAAATGACCGAGTCACTTTACAATATAAACTATGTAACCAAAGCAATCCACAAGACATTACTAAGTTAGTTGGCGAGCTATATATGAAGTCACTCATGAACTACTACCCTAGTTGGCTCCAGGTTCACACCTTCGAGTCGTCGTATGATGCAAACTCAAATGTCAATCTTTCTTAACAACATTAAATGGGTTTGGCCAACCTTTCAACTGTAGTTCCAATTGTTCTTTAACTATGCTCGTTAAACATTAAAAGAAACGGTTATATAACAATTATTGTGATAAGATCGGGAGCTTGAAAAATCTTCTTTTAAACATTAAAAACATTCGAAGTAAAAGGATCGGGAGCCTGAAAATCTTGTTTTAAAAATATCACCACAATATGTATTGTAAGGAAAACATAGTATTTTAAGTCATACAATTAGTTCGTCAATAATGTGTGTGGACAATTGGATGTAATGTCGAGTATCAAAGCAACGTTCAATGATATCGCCACTCATTTAAGTTTTTAGTTTTATGTGGGGTAGAAAAGGTTCTCAATGGTATTTTGGTTTTTGTTTTAGCTCTAAAACTCAAGATTCTTAATTCGAAACAACAAATCGGCAAAGAAGGCTACATCGGTTGTGATTTATTGTGTGACAAGTGAGTATAATGAAGAGAACATGATCCTTAACATATTTTGGTCTCGAAGATTATTAAAAGTGAGTCGTGAAGCCCATTACAAGTACCTGAACCCAACTCACTATCTTCTTCCTTGCCAGTCGCCACTATCGTATGCTTCTTCTCACCCACAAAGTAAAACCCAAAACCTAGCACGACCCAAAATACATAGTCAAGGACCACCTTTCAAGACAGGGTGAAGCAAGGATTCCATTTTCGGAGGGGCCATAAAATGTCAAACAAAATAATAAAATATTAAATATGATTTGCTATATGCAAAGTACACGATGCTATTTGGAATCAATCAAGTCACTCAAAATAGCGTTTAACCAAAACGTGTTCACTAATATCTCATTCATTATAAATAACAAGACTACTAACGATAGAGCCATCACTCTTTTTTTTTTGTAGGTTAGTCACTCACTTTATGGCAGAAAAAAACTCATTCAATACCAGCCGTAACGACTATAAGAGTCTGAACCAGATGAATCATATAATCAACGAATCAAAGTCAGTTGACTTCCCAGAGCATTCCAAACCACGATACAGTGGAAGAAAGCTCGGAAGTTGGGAGTCATCGTCGTTGGTTCTTCTTTCTGTCATCACCGACGTTGATTCTTCGTCCTCTATTTGGTAAGCTAACGTTTTGGATGTTTTAAGTTAAATCTCTAAAACCATGCTTTTAGTGAAATAGATGCACAATATGATAGATTCACTAAATCATGATGTTTAAAAGCATCAACACAAAAGATATTCAACGGAATTTTCAATCTATAAATTTACGTTCTAAAAAAAATGAGAGAGTAATACTTTTTTTTTTACAACAAAGGGTAATACTTTCTTGAAAGATTACGTATAATATTAATGTCGACGCCATATTAACATTTAACAATAAGAAACCTGAAACTAATAAAACAAAATTCCCACACTAATCTCTAGTAATCAGTTCACAATTCAATAATTGGGCACAAAAGAAAATAAAGAAAACTTAAAAGCAAAAACAAAAATTAACTCTCAAATAGATCACACTATTGTTTTAGCCATGTAAAAAAAATTATTTTGCAGTTACCTGTATTCGAACCCAGACCTCCGGATTGCTAGCCACAATCAACACCAATGCGCCATTAGCTCTTTCGTGTTTCATTCGTTCCAATGACTAATATTATACGTTTAGTTTGTTCATCAAATTCAGGGCGCTCTTCGTCGCTGCACTTTCTTTGCCCCTGAACCCAGAAATCGACTATTCTTTCCCAAACCCAGAAATCGAACGACCAGGCAATGCCATAAACTCTCCTTCCTACAGTTTCATCGTCCAATTCAATCGGGGGGCAGTGGCGGATACATGGGACTTTAGTAGTTTCGTATGAATAAAATTTGGGGAAACGATTATCCAACTTCCGCTAGTAGTTTCGTATGAACAAACAAATTATAATTGGTAATCTAGGACACCGTTAAATTTTGAAAAAAGATAATCATGTTCTCGGTAGTAGTTTGCGTATGATTAAAAATATATAAGTAGTAGTCTGTGTTATTCAAACCTATGACACTACTATTATTGAACATATTCTCTAGGTTGTAACTTATTTGTTGTTTTATTTTAAACACTATGTTATAGTAAAAAACACTATTCTTTATTCCCAATTATTTTCAAAACTTAACAATTAAACCCATTCGAGTTATTTGAATTGATTTTATAGGTATAATGTAAGAGTTGAAAGAGTCTTTCAAGTTTGAGTTACATCAGGAACAAGGTTAAAAATCGAATATAGGATCAGTTCGGGAATCATTGTCTAATATGGTACATTTGCACTAGTCGGATATTTATTTGATTTATGAATTATATAATTTATTTTTTAATTAAAATTTAATTTTTGGAAGAGGACACCTCTATAAAAATTTTATGGATCCGCCATTGGGGGGTTGAAGAGGCCAGCAGCGATTAGAGAGGATGTCGATTCGGAGATATGCAGGGGAAGAATCGCACCAGGCAAGAAAGAGAACGAGTGGAAGAGGGAAGCTGGGTTCTTGCTACCAGTCGATTCGTCGTCCGATCCCCGACACCACTGGGTTCTTGCTACCAGTCGACGACCTTCGATCGCATCCGACGCGGAGTGTCGACTACGGTGGCGGCGGCCAGAATTAAGAACGCGCTGCTCTTGAGCGGAGCTGGAGTCACCGCCGGAAGCTTCTTCTATCGCTCCCAAAAATCAACGATCGGATTGCCATCTTCTCAACCGGCGTTATTCTTCCTTGTCACCACCGGCCGGCGACGATTCTTCCTTGCCGGCGTTGAGTCCGGCTGCAAGTAGATAGCTTTTTTTTTATTAGGCTGGAACTTGGAAGTAGATACGACAGGAAATAAATTAGTAATTTCAAAATAAATTGCAGTGGTAGATTATTGTAAAGTTTGGGTGTTTCAAAGTTATAATTTGGAAAAAAAACAGTACTATAATTTATATATGATTGTTAGTTAAATTATTGATTTGAGTAGAATGTACGATAAAAATTGATATGTGACTAAAATGTAAACAACAATTAATGAATGTACATAATCGTAATTATATTTATTAATAATAATTAAGTTAATTAAAAATAATTAATAATTAATTAATAGATGTGAACACAGGCGTACGCCATACACCAGGTGTACGCTAGCCTTTGCCATATATATGTGTATGTGTTAATGCGGCAATATATGTTTCGGTTCCTTCCGATGTTCCACATAAATATGTGTTCCGCTAAATATATATATATATATATATATATATATATATATATATATATGGGGAGTTCTACGGTACCCAGGGTGAAATTCGGGGTACCGCATACCTTGAGTAAGAAAACGCTATCCAGAACTTGAATTGACCGATCTTTCGGACATGATACTATATTCTAACCCTTAAAGATCCAAATTTAGGTCTTAATTCTCTAAATCTTATACCCCAAGATCAATTTAATTAGAAACAATAATCGACGGTTATGATTCGTCCAAATATAGGCAAAAAAATCAATGCACCATCTTAGGGTTTATAGCTTATAATTTAGATAATTAGGACCTAGGGTTCACTCATTAAGGGTTAGGGTATAGTATCATGCCCAAAAATCCTGCTAATTCGAGGTCTAGATAGCGTTTTCATACTCAAAGTATGCGGTACCCAGGTTTTTGTCGGGGTACCGTAGAAGGCACCATATATATATATATATGGTGACTACTTCGGTGCACTTAGTGCACCTAACTCTAAAATCGTCCATAAGACATCAAATTTTGAACTTTAATTAGTACTCTCAATATAATATGATGATATGACATAGAATCATAACAAATCAATCCATTACCCTAACCCCTAACCTTCAATTTTGAATCTCAACCCAAAATCCCAAATTGTAAACCTAAACCCTAACCCTAAATTCCTAAATCCTAAATCCTTCGAATTAAAGTAAAATTTGAATGAATTTTTTTTCAAATTCATGTGCTTCTTGTTCATAATATCATAAGCAACAATTGATACCGTTTTGACATGAATCGCATGGTCAGAATGACGATTATGAGGCGAAAAAGTGGATGCACCGACGCCACCCCATATATATATATATAGGTGACTACTTCGGTGCACTCACAAAAATGAGTGCGTTCAATGTACCCAACTCAAAAACTAGTCTTAAGGTGCCGAATTTTGAAATTTAATTTGTAGAATTAGTGTAATATGATGATATAACACATGATAACAACTAATTAGCGGATTACCCTAAGCCCTAGACCTCCAATTTTGAGTTCTATCCCTAAACCCCAAATTGTAAACCCTAACCCTAAATCTCTATACTCTAAATCTTTCAAATTAAAGTGAATCTTTAATGGTTTTTGTGCAAATTCATGTGCTTTATTGTTCATCACATCATAAGTGATGATTGACATCATTTTAACATAAATCGCATGTTTAAAATGACGATTATGAAGCGAGTGCACTGAATGCACCCAAAAAAGTGAGTGCACTGAAAACGCCACCATATATATATATATATATATATATATATGTATGTATATGTGTGTGTGTGGTGACTACTTCAGTACACTCATAAAAATGAGTGCGCTCAATGCACCCAACTCAAAAACTAGTCTTAAGGTGTCGGATTTTGAATTTTAATTTGTAGAATTAGTATAATATGATGATATAACAGATGATAACAACTAATTAGTGGATTACCCTAAGCCCTAGACCTCCAATTTTGAGTTCTATCACTAAACCCCAAATTGTAAACCCTAACCCTATCTCTAAACTCTAAATCCTTCAAATTAAAGTAAATCTTCAATGGTTTTTGTGCAAATTCATGTGCGTTATTATTCATCACATCATAAGTGATGAATGACATCATTTTGACATAAATCGCATGTTTAAAATGACCGTTATGAAGTGAGTGCACTAAATGCACCCAAAAAAGTGAGTGCACCGAAGACGCCACTATATGTTCTGGTTCGTGTATTGTTATGACCAGAAGGTAGAATTGCATGATCACCGATCACCATCTTCGTGATACTCGTACATAGAGGTGGCAATTTCAATCCAATCCACCAATCCAATCCATCAATCCATTAAAAATATCCCCCTAATCCAATCCATTTAAATCCAATCCATTTTATCCAAATCCAATTGGATTGGTGGATTCATGGATTGGATCCATGGATCATTGGCAAATTACGTTTTGGTACCTATAATTTTTATTTTTTACATTTTGGTACCTAAAATTTTTTTTGTACGAAAAATATCATTGGAAAATTACGTTTTGGTACCTAAAATTTTTCATTATGACATTTTAGTACCCAAACTTTTTACATTTTACATATTGGTCCGTGGTTGAGGATGTCATTTGGATTAATGGATAATCCACCAATCCACTTGATCCAATCCATGAATCCACAATCCATTAGATCCAATCCATTTGATTCATGGAACCACCAATCCAATCCATTTGCCACCTCTACTCGTACATCATTATATTTATACACATAATGTATCATGGTTGGGCAAGACAAAGATTGGTTGGGGATGGTGATCGTTAAACCAATTTGGATTGATTAATGATATCAAATACTTTGTATAGTATTTGAGATGTGAATGAACATATAATAGTTTACTTTTCAATTAGACTTTCTCTATTTCAACTCTCAATAACTTAAATTCCAGTACTTGACATTCACATTAGTAATATTTCCATTAAAGATCTCTACCGAAATCAAAATGCTGCCTGCTTAAACGTATCGTGATTACCGACGGCTTCAGAATCTAACCGGTCTGCAAGTCGAGTATGCAACTCGCGCAGCTTCACTCTTTTGCCGAATATCCTCGTACATTTTCAGAGAAACTTCAGAGAACTTGTTTAGTCTATCTAGAACCTTCGCTAGACTGGCGTGGATGCAACTCAAGTTTGCAGATACATCATCGTTATTCTTCTCAGCATCAACTTTGGAATCTGTTTCTTGGTGGGCTCCATCACCATCATTCTTTACTACCGTCTGCTGATGATGCATCAACTGGTCCACCTCGGCCAAAAATGATTTTATCGCATTGCTGAGTTCCTCAGATGGCAAGGATTTGATGCCGACAGACCAATCTCGACAGAGAACGAAGATAGGTGGGGCCAGAGCTCTGCGTGGGGAGAAAGGCCTCCTGTTCTTCGATCGCTCTTGTGGTTGTTGCATGATGCAGTGCAGTAGCCACCCGTTAAGAGCTTGGACATATGATGTATGACTGTTGACCCAGTTTGCAAACCCCAATCCAAAACACTCGATCTCTTGCAGTAACTGGGACAAGGCTTGCCGTCGGGTGTCTCCTTGTGGGGTTGTTGCTGTCGTTGTAGTACTTCTCGAATGGTATGCTAAGGAGATGGTAATGTACTGTGCATGGTGGCATGCCAGCATAGCCTTCCACATCCGGATTAACCTGTCATGCACATTTTTTACTGTCACAAAATCTGGTAAACAACAAGCACCAAATTAACAGGCTAATGGATTATCAAGCTTGCTATTAACGTTACCCTTGAACTAGCTCCAGGAGTTGAGGATGCAGTTCTTCGTCTCTAATCTTCTCGATTCTTTTTGATATGGAGTCCACAGAATGAATTGCAACTCTTATCCGTGAGTGTAGGTCTTTCGCAACTGCCCTAGTCTTGTCGATAACATGAGCACTATGATCTTTCGCAAATTGGTGTCTCAGCTTATCACACTTTTGATCATACTCTTTCCTAATACATTCACTGGCCTAGAGCAGAATGCAATAATGTGAATATGTGACTAAAGTCAGTTCAAGTTCAAAGTTGTCTACTTTCTGAACAATGATATAGCATCCCCCACAAAAAACTGATATCAAGCACGGACTTGCAGGAGTGTTGTACCTTAACTTCATCATAGAGTTTTCTCTCCCAAGCATAGAGTCGGTCAAGGGTGGAGGAATGGCTTCCTGAAATCATGCAGAACTCCTCAATAAATTCGCTACCACTATCAGAGACATCATCATCTTTTGCCCCATTAGTGAGTGGGTTTCGAGACGAGGATGACCTCGATGATGTTGTTCTCTTCCAAGTTATGACCTTCGTTACATCTTCCCCAGGTTCTGACAGAGACATATAGAAAATGTTAACTATTGAGTTCACTGACCTATGGCTGAAGAGCTGAAGAGGGAAACAAGGATTTACCATTAGAAACAAGTGCAGTCCTTCCCTGGCAGCAAACAAGATTGAAAGCTTCCAGAACTAATATTGCAGAAGACTTTCCTGTACATTCAGATTTCCCTTTAGAACGTTTCTAGAGGACATTCCAGCAAAAATAGGTTCCTAACTAACACCTATGCCTCAAAAACAAAGCCAATCACCTAGAAACATCTAGAAAGTGTTGCAGTGATGTTGTTACCTTTTGGCTCAGAGTATCCTACCCTGATATTATTAGCTTCAAGCATTCTGGAAATCTCCTTCCCTGATTCGGATGCCCTGAAGAAACGATGTTCAATTTCCTTTATGCTCGAAAGAAAATCCTTAGCTCTATGGGTAATGAACTCAGAAGGATCTTCTCTCTCTTCTGCTGATAACCCTTTTAATACAGTTGCTTTCTCCTTCTTTGCAACTAAGATTTCAACGGATGGCCCATTGCAAGCTTTCCTCACTGTATCTGGCTGGCTGTCTTCACCTCCCTTGGGCCTCATTGAATAGCTTTCTTTCGCACCTGAGATCCTCGGAACATTTCCCTCCACTCCATGCCTTGCATTGTCACCATTAGCGGGAGCTTGAGCAGTGATACTACCATCTAGAAAACCAGACTGTGCCAATTTCCCCTTAGCATCTATTACACCATGATCATCACTCGAAACCCTTCCATTCCACTTTCTCGTGTCATGGAAGTCAAACCCCAACTCATTCTGCGCTGGAAACATAAAGCTCTCAGAATGATCACTTGTGTCGAAATAGTCCCAAGACCCACTAAACGGCGGAGGCGGGGGCGGCATTGGCATGGAGAATCCCAAACCCTCATCTTCGTCGAACCCATCAACGCTAATCCTATTCGCATTCTGCACGTTATTGAGTTTGACCGTGACCACAGTAGCAGCAGTGCCGCCGCCGCCTGCGGATTTCATGTAGCTGACGTGCATCACCGGCGGGGAGACGGCGGCGTCCAACGGCGAGTCGGAAGCGTCGGCATGGTGAGTAGGGGAAGGTGAAGGGTAGGATGAGTGTGAAGGAGACTTGTCATTGTCGAGCTCGGTGACGGAGGCAGTCGAAAGAGAGGACTCGATGAGCACCTCGGCCTCGGCGAAGCGGCGGAGAGCTATGCCAATGTTTTTCAGGGAGTTGATGTAAGAGACGTGAGCTGCGGCAAGATTGTACCTGGAATCAATTGCTTGCTTTATGAACCTCTTCCGCTCTTTGCACAGGCGTAATGCTTCAATTTTCTCCTGCTTCGAGCTCGTGGTACCCATTCTTTGTTTCACTTGTCTCTGTTTCTTTTTCCTTTCCCCCCAGATGGTTGAAGAAAAAAGCTCCCGAATTGAAGTTAGCTAAGCTGCTGCATAAGGCGTAGGGAATGGAACGGCAGAAGACCCAGAAGAAAATTTGAGGGTTTGGAGGAAAGAGGAAGGGGAAAGTGAGAGCAGAGATGGGAGAGGCAGCTTCAATGGCGGCAGCAGGGTAACAGAGGAGCAGACGGACGTAGTAGTGGGAAATCAATGCTATGCAAACGGAGGTAGTTGAGGTGGAAGCAGAGTCATAAAAACGGGAGGGACAGATCACAGAAGCAGGGTGTTAAACGGAAACCTGAAGATGGCAGTCAGAAATAGCAATGAATGCTACGGAGAGAGAGAGAGAGGTGGGGAAACAGGGGAAGGATGGAATTGCAGAAGTGGAACCCAAAATGGGAAAATGGATGACGGGGAAACAGAATGAGAGAGAACCCAGAACAGGAATTCTCCAGTGAGCAAAGAAGTGAGAGTGGAGAAAGGGGAGAAAGCAAGGGCAGATGGAAAAGTGAGGGCCTCGATAATGGGTGCGGCTCAAGAAAGAAGGGAGAAAAGGGAGAAAAAAGAAGAGAAGAAAAGACAAAGAAGGAAAACGGGAAAGGCAGAGTTATCTCTCTTCAGTAGCAAACGGCAAGGAGAGAGGGTGAGAGTGAGTGCCGCGCAGCGTTAAGGTAGAGGGAGAGAGTGGAGGGAAAAAATGGTGCGAGCGAGCGAGGGAAACCCTTTGCCTGTCAGGCCAGGCGTTGGGAAAAGGGAAAGGTTATACAACCAACGGACACCGGACCCGTACGGGACCCAGCAGCATAGAAGAAATGGCATTTTGGTTGTCTGCTTTTTCTTCGTCGGAACCTGTGCAGCTTTCGCCTTTCAGGGCACGGCTATGTTCACCTACTTCTAGGGTTGTAAATGAGTCGAGCTGATTCAGCGTTTCACTCGAAAAAAATTCATTCGAGACTCGACTTGTGTATTAATGAGTCGAGTTTGAGCTAAGTTTTCTGCAGCTCGCAGAGCTAGTTCGACTAGGTGGACTGTTGAGCTCAACTCGTGAGCTGGCTCGTTTAGAGCTCATGAGATGTCTCAACTTTCAACATTGTGGCTAGAGAGTCAACTCGATTATTTATTTATGAGCAAAGGGTTTGATTTTGATAATTCATAGGACTTTAAATTATATATCTCATTCTATATGAAGATTAACACAGAATATGTGAGCAAATATATCTTATTTAATTTTTAAAAAGAAAATATGTATCTTAAATTCCTTTTTTTTTTTTTTAGAAAGTGGGGTGCTAAAAGGGCACCCATGTCTGGCACTAGATTAAACGGGTTTGGGCAATGCCCATAGTGTCATACAAATCCAGAAAGCAAGTCCCAGATCTGAAATATCAAACTCATGGAAGCCTATACTAATTGAGTGACCTTTATTAGCCAAGTAATCAGCTGGCTTGTTGCACTCCTTGAATGTGTGAGATACTTTCACCTCCTAGTTTTGTTGAAGCATCTTCTGGAAACTCTGAACTAGAATAAATTACCTGTCATCTCCTCCCTCCTGGGAAGACAGAATCTGGATGGCAGCTTGGGAGTCAAGATGAAGGTGTACCCGTCGAAATTCCTTGTTCCAAGCTACTTGAAGACCATGTAAAGCTCCTTTAATCCCAACCCTTGTTATTGTGCATTCGCCAAGATTAGAGGTGAAGGCATTGACCGAGGTGATTGCGGATAAGGCCACCTGCCGCTGCTTCTGAGTTGGGCCGACGGACCGATCCATCTGTGTGAACTGAAACCCAGCCTTACTCTGGCAGCTTCCACAACAATTCCTCTCGAGTTTTGTGCTTTGCAATAAAATGAATCACCTTGTCTCCTTCCTAAGCTTGCATGATAATTCTTGACCAACACTGAATTCTTTCCGTCGGGATTGCGTCCGACTGATCCTTCTTTTCAAAAATCCATTTGTTGCGACGTTTTCAAAGCTACCACGCCGCGACTCTGAATGGCAGGCCTGATTCCGCGTTCTGCAGATGCGTCATCATCCATTCTGCAAAGCAGAGACCAACTGTTAAGTGTATATCCATGATGCCCAAACGTTGCCATACCTTATTCGCAAACTGGCATTTGCGAATAACATGCTCAATCGACCATGAATCCTCTTTGCATATGTCGCAAGTGTCAGTAGCACAAAGCTTCCTTCGCTTCCTTTCGCAGTTTGCCAAAAGTTTGTCGTGCAGAGCGAGCCATAGGAAATGCTTAATCCTATTGGGATCATTCCAGCGCCAAACTTTCTTCCAATCCGATGGTTTGTTATTTCCTTGTTCATCCTCCTTGTCCGCAAGAAACCATTCTGCAGCTACCATGTAAGCCGAACGCAATCGAAAACGACCATCCGCCTCCCTGCCCCAAGCTGTGATGTCCTCGCCCAGCTCCTCCTCGGGAGTGTCTGTTCCTGCAATAAGAGGAATCAAATTTTCAGGCACATGAGGTAGGACTCGTTGCCAATTCCACTCACCTGATTCTGTCGTCATATCGGCAACAGAGGCTGCCAAGTTCACGCCGTCCCCTGAGTTTGAAATGTGGTCAACTAGACGCACACCATTGGGCAGCCATGAATCCAACCAAAACTGCACATTGCGTCCACTTCGTAGATCTCATATTGCCTCCTGTTTCACCACAGGCAGGGCATCCATGATACCTTTCCATACCCGTGAAGGATGGATATGTTTCATGGACAACCCACCTTCCCTGTTATGCTTAAAATATTTCCCATGTAAGACCTTAACCCACAGTTCATCACCATTATTTAAAAAGGACCATCCCAACTTCAAAAGATAAGCAAAGTTCAGGCATCTAGCCGATTTCAAACCACCGAGCCCCCCATCTTCCTTAGGATTGCATATCGTATCCCAAGTCACGAGATGATTTTTGCTCCTGCTCGCTTCATTTTCCCACACGAATGCTCTGATCTTCTTATCTATAATATCACAAACATAGCAAGGAAGAACAACAGTTTGCATTACGTAGTTAGGAAGAGCATTAAGAACAAAAACCGCAAGAGTTACTCTGTCGGCCAATGAGAGGCTCTATGCTTTCCACCCTGACAGACGTTTGTCAATTTTCTCCAACACAAACTTGTATGTCTCCTTGGTAACTCGTCTGTGGATAACCGGTACACCCAGGTATTTGCCCAGACTGTTGGTCTATTTGATACCCATGGTTTGCGAGATTTGGTTCTTCAACGTTTCCTTGGTGTTCTTAGAGAAGAAGATGCAGGATTTGTCCTTGCTCACTTGTGCTCCAAACGCCGCACAGAAACGCTCCAAGCAATCCAATACAATCGCGCCCTGCCTCATGTCCGCCTCTGCAAAAAGAACCAAATCATTGGCAAAGAAAAGGTGAGTGAGTGCAGGACCATTATTGGATAGATAGGTTGGTTTCCATATGCCCTCTATCACTTTTTCCTTTATACAATGATTAAGACGTTCAATGCACAAAGTGAAAAGGTAGGGAGAAAGAGGACATCCATGCCTAAGACCTCTCGAAGGTGTAAACTACTCCGTGCATCCCCCGTTCCATAACACCTGGAAAGTAGTGGTAGTAATACACGCCATGATGAGAGAAACAAAGTCTTGAGGGAGACCGGCAACTTGCAGTGTTGATTGGAGGAATCCCCAGTCTATCCTGTCGTACGCCTTTGCCAGATCTATCTTCAGGACCATCAAGCCTTGTTTTCCTTTCCTGAGCGACATGGTGTGCACAACTTCCTGTAGGATAATGATGTTATCCGTAATATGAAGTTTTGGCACAAAACTTGATTGCTCCACATCAACAAGCTGAGGCATGAGGTTCTTCAATCTATTGGCCAAACACTTCGCAATCACCTTATAAGTCACATTGCACAAGCCGATCAGTCGAAAATGTGATATCATCTTCGGCGGATCCACTTTAGGAATAAGAGAAATGATGGTATTATTACAGAATCTGATACGCTGTGGGTCATTGAAGCAAGAGACGATATGATCATGAAAGTCAACTCCCACTGTATACCAACATTTTTGGTAAAAGATGGCGTGGAAACCGTCTTTCCCCGACGTCTTTAAACCACCCATCTCTTTGATAATCCCACGAGTTTCCTCAGAAGAAGGAATCTATGCTAGACTGCGGATAGTCTCAGTGTCAAGAGGGCTAAACATGGTTGGAATTGAAGAGTGGTCAACATTGTCCGCTGTATACAGATTGATGAAGAAATCACGGACCATTGCCTCCAGTATTTCAGGATCCTCAATCCAGTCACCATCCTCCCCCTGCAGCTTAGTAATTTTATTACGTCGTCTTCTAGCCAGAGCTGCAGTATGGAAGAATTTGGTATTCTTGTCACCATTGAAAATCCAATTCGTTCGGGATTTTTGCAACCACAATAGCTCTTCTTGCCAAAGAGTTGCCTCCAATTCCTCTCGAACTTTGCTCTCTTCTTGCTGCAGGTAGTTGTTGTTCGTACACTCATTGGCTTCTTCTAGCTTAACAAGTTGTATGGTCAATTGCATTTTCCTTCGTAAAATATTACCAAGCACCTCCTTGTTCCAAACCCGAAGTTTTAGCTTGTAAGTCTTAAAGTGAAAAAATGAGATCACCACCTATCTTCCATGATTCTTTCAGCATAGAAGAGAACTCCTGATGCGCAATCCAGGGTGCTAAAAACCTGAATGGCCTTTCCCCACGACTTGTGCGGCAAATCACTTTACTTCGGACGAGAATAGGGCAGTGATCAGATCGCAGCCGCGAAAGATGGGTACTGATATGATCCAAATTCGAAGAGAACCCTCGAACTCGGATGATATGACCAAAGTATGCAGCCTTCCTTCTTTTTAAGGATTTTTAAAGCTTTTCTCTAACTTGAACAACTTGAAATAAAAGATAGATGTGGAATCAATCGGTCAATCCCAACTCGTGACAAAGGGCAATTGGTATATTAAACCAATTGGACAGAATCAACTCGTGGAAAGGGGAAATTGATATAAGGTAGATGCTAGCCACAACTAAACGTGTTCTTTAGTTGATAAGAGACACGTACTATCTCCTGAAATCCTTGACAGAAGTCTTGCACAAACGTTCACAAAGGAACACGAGTAAAAACTCTTTAATTGATAACTTGAATGTTGGGTAAAAAAAAAAGCTTCCTTTTCCTGGCGGAATATGGAAATTCCGGTCCATTGTTGGTGGCGGACACTTGTTCTTCTTTAATTCCACTTGCATCAATTAATCACCAACCATTATTCCATGAAAGCCTTCATCACGTGGGACAAATTGATATGCTTGTCAAATGGTAATAAAACCTCCAAATTGCTCACTTCCATGCATTAACTTGACCACCAATAGATAATGACCACACGTCCCTTTTGTAAGTACTCAATTTCTCCCATGCATTCGTATATGCAGCTTATGAGCCCATTTATCAATCAATAATGCTTCCAGTTCATCCTTATATCGTTGGATTCGATCTTTCATTTTTGGACCACGGGAATTAAATATCGTGCTAGTCAATATCGCATCATTCCCTCTCTCTTGAAGAAGATTCGACCTCGAATCTTTATAGAACTTTGATCTCCAATCAGCACCACTCTTCTTGGCTTTCGAACCAAATTTTCTTGGTAGCGATAATTGTATCATTCCCCCTTCTTAAAGACAATTCGTCTACGAATTGTAGAGACTCCATTTTGATGAACACCTTCCACGTAGCTCTGAACTTCTCGTCTATTCTCCAAGCGGACCTCCTCTTTAGTAATTGCATCACTGACTCGCTTGTACCGTCACACTAGAAAGTGGCCAAGTGTAATCACCTACTAATGCATAGTATAGCGGGTTTTGTTCTAAATGTCAACCCGGGTCCTAGGTGTGATGACTACTCCGTGAGATTCTTATTATTTAGCGGTTCAACTGTAGTGAAGTTCCAACTAAACTAGCAAACAAAAGCAGTAAATGTTGTGTTCCAAGTTTGAGAGAGGTCACCTAGATATGATTCCCCCTAAACTGCAGTTAAGCCAAGTTGTAATTTGCCAAGTTCAGATTCAATGATAATTATATTGCGGTAGGTTCTTAGATAGTTTGCAGTCTCGACTAAAGGTCTCCAGACCCTCTCAATCTGAGTCTCCAATGGGCGACTAACCTCCACTAGAGTAAACAAACTAAGGCCCTAACGTACCAAACCTTCTCTACTAGAATAAAGCCAGTACAGAATAGTGAATTGACTCCTCGACTAAAGTCAATCAAGGGTGCTCTATCAACCTAGGCAGATATTCTCATTCTAGGTCAAAGCAGGAATAACAGGAATTTGATCAGGATTCATGCAATTCAGAAAACCATGCCTCAATTGAATATAATCAGTATCAAAGAATTTGTACTTGGCTTCATACAACCAGACCTAACATACAAATCTAGGGTTCTTCATACCCAGGTGAGTGAGAGAGTTTACTCCATAGAGAAGGAAGGGAAATCTAGGTCAGATGTAGAAATCATGCTGTGAAGGATGAGAATTTGTTTCTGGTACTCAATCTTCACTTCTCCAAGCTTTAGCCAAGCTCCAATGGTGATGAAGATCGATCTAGGGAGCTTGGAGACTCTGGTCCGTCGCTTTCTCTCTCTAAATTCGGATCCCTCTAAAAAATGGCATTCTTTCCCTCAAAAGGGTGCAGATCACGATACCTGGCCATAATACCCGGTTGGGTTTTTCAGGAGGTCGGCCGGGTATTTTGAAACGCAGCGCAACGGGCATAGGATAATACCTGATCGAGGTCTAGAATACCCGATCGGGTGTTTAAGCATTTCGGCCGGGACCCCTTCTGTTTCCTGACCTCCAAAGCGTGTTTTACCTGGCCTTCCTTCGCATTTCACCCGGTCGAGTATTTTAACTCCTGACCGGGTATTTCTGCCTGACAGCTCCTTAGGCTCCATACTTCCACTCTTCGACCCGAAACTCGTTCTCACGCCTCCATATCCACGTAAAGTCCTGAAATATGACATAAACGAACAACCTAACGTGAAATCGGCCTAAAATATGAGAATTGACTCTCAAACGGTTCAAGAAATGGTGGTCAAAACATGTGAAAATAATGGTTTATCAATCACCAATCACAACATCAATATGAGCAACGTCGTGAACTATTGGTAAATGCTCCATAATTTTTGAGCATTCATCTCCTCCATCGAATTCTGATTTCTCAATGTATTTCTCAACTTCTATCAAACTCAAAACTGGCACATCAACAAGAACATCTTCTTTCACCTCTTATGCCTCTTGTAATTCTTCTCTTTCAAGTTTTGGTTCTTCTTGAGATAAAATTAAAGCTTGTGAATCCTCTTCACAAGTGACTATAGTAAGTCCATCAACAAGAACCTCTTCTCTCATCCACGTCTTCTTTGACTTCCTCTTCTACTTTGACTTGAAACTCTTTCTCCTTCTTCAAATTCTGTTGCATTTGATGTTGATCCTCATAGATTTCTTTGCGAGATAAAGGCTTCAATACAAACTTCTGAGCTCTATGCGACCACTTGTACTTCTTGGTGACTTCATCTTGTTGTCCATTTCGATCAAACTGCCATGGTCTTCCAAGCAAAACATGAGCCTCTTCCATTGGCACCACATAACAAAGGACTTCATCTTTATAGCTTCCAATCTCAAACTTCAATATGGCTTGCTTGGTGACCTCAATTGATCCATCTTCATTAAGCCATTGAAGAGTGTAGGGTTTCGGTTGTTGCAATGTGTTTAATCCCAGTTTCTTCACCGAATATTCACTCACCAGATTAGTGCAACTCTCTCCATCAATCACAACTGATAGTAGCTTACCATCCACTAAGCATCTCGTGTGAAATATATTATTCATTTGCTCGAGATCTTGCTCTGGATTTGGACTCCCTATCGTCAAATGAGCTTCAGGTTGGATTATTGTTGCTGACGCATTATTCCCCCTTTAATCCTTGAAGAATAACTTCTGTCGTCTTGAGCATTTGTTTCATCATCTCCATCGCTCGTTGATTTTGCTTCGTTCTTGATTGTCAAGGTGGACAAGAACCCCCAAAAACAAAAAACAAACACGTCCCTTTTGTAAGTAATCTATTGTCAAATGGTAATAAAACCTCCAAATTGCTCACATTAACCCTCCATGCATTAACCTAACCACCAATAGATAATGACCACACGTCCCTTTTGTAAGTAATCTATCATTCGTGTAATTGGTAGCAGCTTATGATCCCATTTATCCATCGAGAATGCTCCCAATTGATTCTTATATCGTTGAATTCGAACCTTCATTTTTGGACCACGGGAATTAAATATCATGCTAGTCGATATCGCATCAGGTACAAAGAGTTTCTGGGAAGCGATTAAGCCATTCCTGGTTACATAAAGCCTTGTCCAGCCGTTGATAGAGTCGACCATTAGTCCAAGTGATTTTTGGACCACTAAACTCCACATCAATGAATTCATAGTCCGCGATACATTGGTTGAAATTAATAACTCTGTGACTGTTGAATTTGGCTCCTCCGTGGCGTTCTAAAGGGAAAGTAATCGAGTTAAAGTCCCTAACAAGGAGCCAAGGCTTTGAAACAGTGGGCTCAATACGGCGAAGGGAGTTCCATAATGTTTGCCGATCATGTTCATTCGGCTTCGCATAAATCGCAGTCATCACCGCTGACTTATTATCCTACAAATCAACAACAAAAAATGCAAGAATTGAGAGTCACAATCCAACAAAGAAATGGCTAGATTAGAGGAATTCCAAAGAACCCATATTCCTCCAGAAAAACCTACTGCATCTACCCTTTCGTGCTTATCAACCCCCAAAGTCAGAATCACTTCCAACGCATCCTTGCCACTAATTCGTGGCTCCGCGATGAGCACTAGATTCGTCTTATGGGCAATCATATAATCTTTGAAAGTAGAATGAAATTTTGGATGTTTAGCCCCCCGACAATTCCAACTAAAAACACTAGACATAACATAGATTAAACAATAAGACAAGGGAAAGAAGGGTCGGGCCACAATCCCGTTATTCGAAGGCTGGAATCAGAGCATTCAAAGTCGCTTACTCCGTTGGAGTGTTAGCACCCCCGCCACAATCAGACATCACTGCGTCATCTGCCCCAGAAGTCCCCATCTATTGGAATTCATCCTCCTTGCTCTGCACCTGAGAAATTATCTCCTTGATGTCTTGGGGAGAAGAAGGAAATGAGGTTTCTTTAATTTGAAGAGCCCCTTCACGTTTCGACTTCGAGAAGCCCGAAGTAGATTTCTTCACTTTTCTCAGGTTGACTAGAGGGATGCTATCCGAATTTGTAGTTTGAGCGCTAGATTTTCTCTTGCGGTAATGGTGTCTGATGGAGGGATGACAGAGAGGAGAGATCAACTGGACGGTGGTTCCCTCAATATTAGTAAACAGAGAAGCCTCTATGGGAGGAATTGTCGTAGTGGATTGGCCCATCATTGGATTAGGAGGGTGGGTTGTGGCGGTCGAAGAGGTTTCCTTCTGCTCATGAGATTTGTTAAGCTCATGGAGATGTGCTTCTTTTGGCCCAATTACTTTCTATTCATGAACCAAATTCACATTCTTCCCTTTAGACACTCCCTCCTCCATCTCCGCAGTTTTCCCTTTCTGAGATGTTGTGTTTCCTTGTTTGAGGTCTGGCTTATGATCCAACTTACCTTTCCCATCTTTATTTCCTGTTACCACTGATTGATCTTGTTTGATCCATTGAGGCAACTAGGTTGGTGGTTTTCCTGAATTGGAGTCTTTTTGATGATGAACCCCTTGATTTCCGCCGTCTTTCTTTGTTGTCTTGCGAGATTTTTGTGTTACCTGCATCCACGGGCCATACCCAACTTTCGGCTCCAACGAAGATCCGGCGCCGTAGTGATGTTTCCCGGTGACACAGTAATGAATAACGCTTGTAGCGCGACCTTCCTCGGGCAAGAATCTTCCGTATGGCCTATGCGGCCGCATTCGAAGCAAATATGTGGGAGATTTTCATACACCACTCCCTGCCAGAATCCGTATAGTTGGATATGAGTAGCCAAAGGCTTTGTCATATCAAGCTCGACGGTGATGCGAGCAAATTTTCCTCTTGTAGGGTCTTCGTATGGAAGTCGAGTTTAACGGTGCGGCCAATCAGATTTCCGAGTGCAAACAGCACTTCGCGATGGTAAAAGTGAACTGGAAGTTTCGGGAGCTCTACCCAAGCCACCACCGAGCGGTGCGGTTTATCCGACGTGCGAAACGAAGGCGACCACGATAAGATAGTGGTCAAGAATCGTCCAATGACTTCCTTTCAAGGCATGAAGATAGTCGTGCTCATTACTGAACGTCACTAGGAAGGTGTCATTGTTGAGATCCATTATGTCCATTGTGTCGGTCGGACGCCACTTCCACCGAAGTTGCGAGCAGAGGTAGGCGTATGCAATCGATCGGCCCAACAGACATACCACCAGCGTCTTCTTCCACGGTAAGCATAGCCTTTCTTTGAATTTTTCCGACACTTTCAACTCAGGTTTGGCAGCGAATGACCCCGTTACGAGATCATGTTCCCCGACGAATGTCCATTGATTGGCTTTAGTTGCTTTTTGTGGTATTGGTCCGACCAGCGCCGATTTGTAGTTAAGAGCAGGGGATTAGCAATGGGCGCCGTGTGATTGCTCTGGTTTACTATCGAAGAAGAGTGTGGATCCGACGGTCTTCCAGTCGGTGACAGGGATGGCGCCGGTGAAAGAACGGGAGCAGAATTTTCAGAGAGCATTTTTCTTTAGTTGCTCTCTCCCCCCATAAATTCCTTCGATACTATGAAATAACATAATTTTGACTAGTTAAAATTTATTAACTAAATAAAATAATATGATACCATGAGATTAGTTAATATTGAAAACTTAACTATTATTACTATTATTATTTTCATCTGAACATTTATCACATGTATCATGCATTACATACAAAATGAATATATCAGATACAAGTCAAGATTTTACTAACCAAGTTAGCTCGAACTCGACCCGACTTGGCTCGTTAATAAACGAGTCAATCTCGAGCTCCACTCGTTTATTAACGAGCCGAGCTCAAACTGGGGTAAAACTCGACTCGACTCGCCTCATTTGCAGCCCTACTTGGCTCCCAGCCCCTTGCCAATCTGGTTTACCATGGATGGAATGTGTGCGGGGCTAACACTAGGGTTTACCGAATCCAATCGAATCACGTGTGAAATCGATCGCATCGTAATATCATGTTGTGTGGATTGAAATTCGGTAGCTATATAGTCACTTATCGAAGTTTGGTTCAGAATAAATCAAATCAATTAGCCGATTTTCAAATTAATTTCTGAATTATTGCAAATTTAGGAGTGGGAAATGGTCTAATCCAGTTGAACCGGACCGGATTAATCCGGTTTTGGGCCCTTAATTTCGAGAAAAATGAAAAATTAATTGGATTGCAAATTGTTTTAGCCTGGATCCAGATTGAATTGGATTTGGTCCGGTCCAGTTTTAACATAAAAATCGGACTCCTTCAGTTGCACCAAAATAGCACAGTTTAGCGCTCAAATTAAAATTAAGAAATAAGAACAACTAAACACCATCGGCAACCCTTCCCTCCCCAAAACCCCTAATTCACTACTAGCTTAGACCCTGACGTTGCGCAGTTAGCTCTATTATTAGTATTATTATTGTTGTGTTGCCGTTATTTTATAATGTGTTCAGTTAAAAGCATATGCATCACTTATGTCTTAATATTTTGGATGAAAATGCTTTCAACAATAGGAGGAGTCTATTTCAAGCAGAATAGGAGGTAGAAGCATCTGGCGAGAGAAAATTAGAAAAACCAATTTCAGAACAACAATGTCCCGTAACTGAGAGATATGAATCTGGGAAAGAATGTAAAAAGTTAAGAATATAAAGTGCCAAAGTACAGTTTGAACTTACGTACTAGGTGGCAGGGACGGAGCCAGGAATTTCGGTAAGGGTGGCCGGTAAATTTTTTGTTAAGAAATAAATTATTATGATATTTATTATTCAAAAATATTATCAAAATATCAATATATAAAGCGTATTTTAACTAGCAGAAGAGCTTTGGCATGTTGTATGGTTCAAAAAATAAATTAGAGTTAATTAAAATGAAAAATGGAGCTCAATTTCTAATGAAAATGGAGAAAATGGTGAAACGAAGTATAATTCCTAATCATAAGCAAAATAACTTGCAAAATTCAGAAAATCAAAGTTAAAATTTGAAGAATATGCCTCAAATTAGAGTGCTCTCACACTTTCATTTCTTATTTCCCGTCAATTTTAATGGGTCATATCTTCTTCATTACAACTCGGATTTACAATAATTTTGCACTGGAAAATTTAATTTTAATGAGATCTACAAGAAGCTACTCATTTTAGCATATTTTGAAATTAAAAAAAAAATCATTTTATAATACAGATACTCACATTCAAGTAATGGACTTTGCTATAGTGACTTGCAAGTCACCGTGACTTGGACAAACGATCGACTGATAACTGTATCTGGTAGATCGAATACACTATTGTCTGTTTTGTTATATTCAACAAGCGATTGACCTGATGCCTCACAGTTTGACCTGATGGCTCAAGTGGTCGACCTGATTGCTCAAGAGGTTGATTGCTCCTAAAAAATGGTCGACCTCACGTTGATGGCTCAAGTGTTCCCTTTTGTTTGTAATTACTCAACTTACTTTTGCATATTGATATAAGATTTCGAGTCCAATTTTACAGGATGAAGAAAAGAATCACATGCATAGTGGGGACAAGGAAGAAATAGGGATGATGAAGAAACTAATGAAGAGCCCAGGGAATAGCCAATGGCATCGGGCAAATTATTCAACTCCACTAGTCACCCTCAACGCTATATGGGATTACATGACTAACATGATTGATTACATGAGCCCAATATCCAGCCACATGATCACAATTTAGGTGACTGTAACTCAGATGTCGGGTGAATTCCGAGTGGAAGATACATGTATCCCAACATATCCGAGCACCAGAATTTTAGCATCATCAATCGAGATAATCAAGATGAGTGAGAGGAGAAAGATCAAGGAACTCCATGAATTACATTAAGTTTTTATTTATTTATTTTGGTGTGATCAATTGAGCTTATAAGACGATTTTATTTAAAACAACTATGATTGTGGATTGATATTAAACCGTTGTGGTTTTGAAGTTGAGATATGTGTGTGAACTATTGTGAGTTGTATTTGTTGTGTTTCGGTATTAGTTATCAAGCTTTTAAGAAGATATGATTTTTGCTACTATGATTGGCGATTGAATTTCAGAATTTCTATGGTAGTTTGTTAGATTTCAGAAGGCACATGACGTTACGGGTTTTATGAGGTCGATTGGATTATTACAAAGGTCGAATGGAATAGACAACATCTCTATGTTTTTGTTCTCATACAAGTTAACCATAAAATCAATAACTTCTTTCTCAAAAGATAAAATAAAATAAAATCAATCATTTTAATCTTCCAAGAGGATGGTTTGTTAAATTTGGGAGTCGAGCGTTCTTCTGTTTAGTCAACCTCTTCGCTGGAGTGGTCGACCATACTAAGAAGAGGTCGGCCACTTTGCTGGAAAGGTCTACCTCTTCTTGATATGACCGACCATTTGTTGAAAATGTCGACATTTTTACTTATGAGTCTCTTAAGCGCGGTCGACCCATCCACGTTAAAGATCGACAACATTCTTCCATCTGTTGACCACATTCTTCCATCGGTCGACCACAATCACTTATCAATCGGCCATTTTGTCCAATTCATTGTGACTTGCAAGTCACTATAACTAATTAGTTATTATTATTATTATAATATATAAAAGCCTAGTATGAGAGTTACTATTCATTAGTGGTTCTCACACTCCTCCAAATGCAAGTGGAGAAGTTCCAAACCCTTCTTTTACCCCACTCTCTATTCTACAATTTTTGTGTTTAGTTATTGTTCGCTAGGTTTTCGTCTATGGCTTTTTGCATAAATCATCGCCTTTGTGTTTTGTTATTGTTCGCTAGGTTTTCGTCTATAATTTTTTGCACAAATCATCGCCTTTGTGTTTAGGTATTGTTCGCTAGGTTTTTGTCTTAATAATAATAATAATAATATAATATATTATATATTATATAAAAGCCTAGCATGAGAGTTACTATTCATTACTGGTTCTCACACTCCTCCAAGTGCAAGTAGGGAAGTTTCAAACCCTTCTTTTACCCCACTCTCCATTCTACAACTTTTGTGTTTAGTTATTGTTTGCTAGGTTTTCGTCTATGGATTTTGGCACAAATCATCGCCTTTGTGTTTTGTTATTGTTTGCTAGGTTTTTGTCTACAAATTTTTGCACAAATCATCGCCTTTGTGTTTAGGTATTGTTCGCTAGGTTTTCGTCTATGGCTTTTTGCACAAATCATCGCCTTTGCCCACCATTTTGCAGCTCATCTCGAAATACTATCGGCGGAATCCTAAGTTGTTCTCCACCACCGTTTCCCAAGGTCTCTACCACGAGTTTTGTACCGGGACCGAGTTTCATCATCTTTCGAGTTCTTTTTCCTTTCTTTTCTTCCATTTTGTTGAGCATGATCACAATTGAATCCAAATACATGGGTATCCTAACTTGAATACAAATTATCTCCTTTGCCCATCATTCTGCATCCCATCTCGAAATACTGTCGGCGGAATCCTAAGTTGTTGTTCCCCACCATCGTTTCCCAAGGCCGCTACCACGAGTTTTGTATGGGGATCGAGTTTCATCCTCTTTAATGTTTTTTTTTTCTTTTTGTTGAGCATGATCACGATTGAACCCAATTTTGCTACCGAAAATCCATAACATATCTACTCAATGTTGGCGAGTTTTGTATCGAGACCGAGTTTCGTTCGTTTTAGTGTTTTTTCTTTCACTTTTCCCTTTTTTGTTGGGGTCATGAGCGAGTTTATCTGTTTTTTTTTTGTTGAGAATGACAATTGAGTCAAACATATGGGTATACAACCTAATTCGACCCGACCAAAGCGATTTCAACCCGATTTTACAGGTTTTTGGCGGGAACGAGTTTTATCTGTTTTTGTAATGGACATGTTGCGTCAGGTGTGAATTTGTCCAAAACTCGATCCAACCAGGTCAAAGCAAGTTGAACCTGGTGGTTGACTAGTTTTGAGTCGGTTGCGAGCTTTAGCTTAATTTAGTGTTTTCATTTTGCCTTTCCTTTTTTTTAGAAAGACAATTGAACCCAAATCCATGGGTATCCAACCTAATTTGAAAAGATCCAGAGAAGCTATTTCATTCTGCTAAAGTTATAGCAGGATCAACTACTAGCCATACAAATTGAAAAATTGGTGTCATGAAAGAAGTTTAAACATAATAATCTATTCGACGACCCTTATACCTTATGCAGGTTCATCTATCATATGCTATTGCAAATAACAAACCTATGAAAAGAATGATTAAGAATGGGCTAAATTACACGTTGGGTCACTCAAATTATACAAATCTTTCACGTTTGCCACCTGAATTACTTTTCTTTCTTATTCGCAACTAACTTTACAAATAGTTTCACCGTTAGTCACCAGCCGTTAAACTCTGTTAAATTTGTCCTACATGGCAGTCAACGGTAAAGTTTGACTGTTAACTAGATGACATGGAAATTAAAAAATTAAAAAAAAAGAGTTCAAATTTCCACCTCATCATTCCACTTACATTTATCAAATTAATTATTTAACAAATAAAAAACAAAAAAGCGCCATGTTCGCCGACCTTGTAGTTATGAACGATAATTCAGATCAGAATAATCCCGTGGAGAAGGAGATTGTCAATTCCATCGACGAGGAATACCACCGAAATTGGCGGAATTCAAGATCCCGACGCTCCGGGACCAGATCAGGTCAGTATCTGATGGGTCAGTAACCCATCAGTAACCTCTTCTCTTGTCGCCACGTGTAAGTCCTTTTTTTATTTAAATTAAATGCGAAAGGACAATAAGGTAAAATTGCTCCTACCTCTATTTATTGCTAACGCTGACTTTTGACCGGATCACATCAGCGCCTTCTCTCTCCTCGAAAAACTTTTAATTTTCCTTCTCTTAATCTTTAACGGACGATTTCTCACTCGTTTTAAGTCCGAATTTAATTTTTTTGCACAGTTAGATCAGATTAATTGTGCTTTTCAAAATGATATCCACTTTGATATTTTTTGGACATAAAAATTTTTGTCAGTTATTACCAGTCTATACCATATGGTATTGACTGGTATTGACCATACCATATGGTATGAAAAATTTTGCCACATCAATATATATTACGTTACCACCCAATACCATATGGTATAGTGTGGTAATATCAATATATATTTCGTTACCACCCAATACCATATGGTATAGTGTGGTAATATCAATATATATTTCGTTACCACATAATATCATATGGTATAGTGTGGTAATATCACACAATACCATACAATACCATATGGTATAGTGTGGTAATATCAATATATAATTCGTTACCACACAATACCATACATTACCATATGGTATAGTGTGGTAATATCAATATATATTTCGTTACCACCAAATACCATATGGTATAGAGTTATAATATCAATATATATTATCTATAAGAAAAAAAACAGAAGGAGGTAGAGAAAAAAATCGTCTTGTGTCGCCTCTCATTTTCTCTTCCGCAATCAAGAACACCAAAATGCCAAAAAAATGAGAAAGATCGAATTTGAGGCCAACAAGATAATGAAGAGAAGAAATGCAATGAAAAAGAATGGCTCCAATTTTTATTCGTCATGGAAAAAAAATAAAGAAGAAGAGAAGGGAGCAGATTTAGATCTAGAAATGAGATTGAGAGAGAAAAAGGAAGAGAGAAAAAGAGAGGAGGGAGAGAAAAAGGAAGAGAGAATGAAGATAGAAAGTTGCAGAGAAGTGATTTCTCTTTCCTTCTTTGAAAGTGCAGCCATTAAATACGAAATAAAATAAAGAATTTAATGTATAAACGGACAAAAATACCCTTCCCCACTGAGAGTCCGGCCCAACTACACGATTGCCTGCCTTTTAGATCTATGGTCCCTATTCATTACTGACATGTCAGTAACCAATTGGTTACTGACCCTATCTGCTGCCCGACGCTCCTAAGCTGTCAGCCGGCGTCGAGGAAATCGAAAAGCACGCGGATCTCCTGCAAGCGAAAGTTGGTGTCGGAGCTGGCCTTCATTGACGTGGTCAACCGGGTGGAGGTCGAATCTTCTTCCGATACGGTTTCCAGCTGGCCAAGCGGATCAGGTGCACCGATCTCATCCCTTGTAATTTGTTAAAAGAAAAACAGAGTATATATCGCCGGCCGAGAAGAACGGTGTCGTATCGATGGAGCCCGATCAATTCCCATCGGTGAATGGACAATGCACTCTGGGCATTGTGTCTCGGCAGGGCAGCAGCCAGCATGGCAAACCAGAACATATTCCTATCCTCTCGTCACTCTGTTCGGAGGTGTCCACGACGGCGGCGGATCCATGTTCGGAAGGTTTCAATTACAACAATAATTTCAATCTTGCGTACCACAATGAACTAGTCGATCCCTTGAATGAGAGCGTACGTAGGCTGTCCAGATGCTAACGTTGGCGAAGTTGGCCACGGAAAGCCAGAGCGGCACGAACTTCACACTCTTGGTCTTGTACACCTTGGCCATGACGGGGAGCGGGTAGGCGTACACAATGGTGTTGAATACCAAGGCGACGTTGAAGGTGATGTTGCGGGAGTGCTGGCTGTGGAAGCCGATGAGGGCGACGACGATGATGACGCGGAAGAGCACCACCTCACCGAGGAGGCCAGGAGGAACTTCTTGCAACTCTTGTTGTGGCGGTCGTAGAAGACGAAGATGGAGAGGTAGACGAGCTCGAGCGCCAGGCCGGAGAATGATCCCGATTTGATTTTGGGCAAGCTGGGTAGGGAATCGAGATCGGCGGACATGACGCTTTTTTGTTTATTAAATAATTAATATTATAAATTATATGGACTAAGTGGAATGATGAGTTGGAAATTTAAATTTAAATTTTTTAAAATTTCCATGTCATTTAGTTAACGGTCAAACTTTATAGTTGACTGTCACGTAGGACAAATGTAACGGAGTGTAACGGCCAGTGACTAATGGTGAAACTAGTCGTAAAGTTAGTGGCGAATAAGAAAGAAAAGTAATTCGGGTGGCAATAGTTTTCTTGCTAATATAGCATGGACCAGGAACCCGGATCGTACCGGCCGGTTCAACCGGAAAAACCGGAAACCGGACCAGAAACGATACGGTAAGCTGTTTGTGAGCAGAATATCGTGCCGGCCGGTTTTTCCGGCTTAACCGGTACAAAATGAAATATCGCCCGGTTTTGGTATAACCGGCGGTAGACTGTAGGCAGAAAAATGACATCATTTAGGCACATCAAATTATATATAAAAAAAAAAATTCGGCCAAAGGCCAAAATGCAAAAACCCTAATCTAATGAAAAGCCCCTTTCATAGTTTCTCTTTCCCAGCTCAGTTCCACCCCGCCCCGCCGCTCCTCCTCTTCTCCTCTGGCCACTGGCGACCTGCGAGCTGTGACCGGCGACTCGTGACTGGCGGCCTGCGACCGAAGACTCGCGACCAGCGAAAGCTCGAAAGCAACCCGCGACCCATGACCCTGATCCGCCGAACCGATCCCTGCTCTGCCACTATGTCGTTCGTCTTCTCTGCTCTGGCGAGTGGCGACCGGCGAAAGGTCGTGCAGATCCCTGCTCTGCTCTGCCGCTCCTCTTCACTCCTCCTCAGCCCCGCCGCCTGCTCGAGCCTCCCTCCCTTGCTCAAGAACGCGAGACAGCCTGTTACTATCGGCGGCGGTGACTGTCGATTTGGGGAAGGAGATAAAATCGTCGATCAGATTGACGGAGGAAGCCAGAAAAAGGTCGAATCTGCATCTGAAAGAGACTTTGTTCATCATGTAGATCTTGAACTGTGGGGGAGGGTATTGGTCGGCAGAGGGATATGAAGAGCCGGCGAAGGGAGAGCTGGCGGAGGGAGGAATTGAGGCAATATATGATCGGGGAGAGAAATCCGCCGTTGGTGATTCTGCATGCAAGAATCGGGACATGGATTGATCCGTTGCCGCCGCCTCTCCGTTTCGTTATTCATCCGAGAAACCAATTGATGGAGCACCTTGCAGCGAGCAGCCAAGGCCAAATCTCACTGCTTGATATCTTCTTTCCATCCCCTTCAGCTTCTAACTTCCCGGCCGTCACCAGATCTGTTGTCAATAGCATGCAGTACCCTCTCTATGTTTAACCAATTGGTTCATATTTGGTATGCTCGGAGGAAAAGGGGAAAGTTCTGTAATTAAGGAATGGATTATTGGTGAGAGAGAGAGGGAGGCTGGGAGGGAGAGAGACAAAAAGGTTTGAAGGAGAAGGAAGTTTCACCATCGAGTGGGTTTTAAACTAGTAAATTAAAATAATGGACACTTTAATCGTTTGATATCTGTTAGCGATATAATTAGCCTCCAAAGCATGTCATGTCGAACTCAAAACTGTGGTTAAATATTCTGGTTTATTGTGGTCCGCTCATTATTTTGTTTTAATGCTAACTAGGTTTGGAATTGTAAAGTTATAACCTTATAAGTGGACGATATATTCCGGTTTTATTCCGTTATTATTCCGAAACGGTATACACAATCTGCCGGTACGATTTTTTAACAAAAAAATATTTTTTAATTATAAAAACGGTATTTTACCGGTACACAACGATTGAACCACGGTCGTACCATAAAATACCATACCACAGACGGATCCGGTATGACTTCCGGTACGGTTTCCTTTACCATGTAATATAGAGAATTGTTTTCTTTGATAATTTTGAATGGGCTCAATTTACAATAGGGCCAATAGTTTTTACTAAGGAACAATGGGTCTAGCAATAAACTGCTCAATGGGCCGAAATGTTTTCTTTGATAATCTTGAATGGGCTCAATTTACTATGGGGCCAATAGTTTTTACTAAGGAACAATGGGTCTAGCAATAAACTGCTCAATGGGCCGAAATGCTTCTCAAATCTCCACCCAAACCTGCAGAGAAGATAAACTCAATAATGATGTTTGATCATGTTCTCATTTTCCTATGCACGGATGACATTTTCACCCGCGTCACCAATCCCACCACAACTAAGTAATGGCGCGAAATATCGATATGGTTGAACAAAGTGAGAGAGACGCCGAGAGCCCCATTTTGCAGTGACGCCCTGCTGTGACGCCATTACCATCCCTTTTTTTAAACTGGGTAGTTTCATTGAATTAGTGTCATCACACTCTAAATTGAGAACCAAAATGATTCAGCACTAAGAAAAAACTAACCATGCCGCCATCATCATCGCGGCAGGCGACAGCAGCTGCTGCTCGACGCAAAAAGCAACGCTCGTCGTCTTCTTCCCTTTCACCCCCGCCAAACCATGTGCAGCACATGAATTCTGAGCTCATTCCATTCATCCCCCTCCTCTCCCACCTGGTTTTCTGCAACCCTTCTTCCCCCCTCCACCGCCCCCAACAAATATCCCAAAGTCAGAAGTTTAACCTCTTAAAATAACCCAAACTCATCATTTAATTTCATTTGTCCTGTTTTGCTTTCCCCCTGTTTTTTTTCCAAATTTCTCCGACTCTTTTTCCCCAGCCACCGCCATGGCCATCAATCACTCTTCCACCTATACCTCTGTCATCGTTTGGGCGACGACACTATTTAGGGGACGAGCCCCCTTCCGGGGTCTGCAAGTCGGTGCAGAAAATCTTGCTAACAAAAACAAAAAAGAATGGTTCGAATTGACGAGCCATCCATTTCGGATGTTCTAGAAGCAGAGGAAGAACAAGAGCTGGTAGACGCGGCGGAATCAGGGGAAGCGGAGGCAGAGGAGGAACCGATTGGATACGATGAGCTGAAGAGGCGGATGTGGAAGGATCGATTACGACTCCAGAAGTTCGAAGAGAATCGAGGGACTGCTGCTGCTACGACAAAGGAGCTGGCGCTGAAGCCGGAAACGGCTTCGTGTTCTTCCTCCACGAGTAAACAGGAAGCTTCGAGAAGGAAGAAGATGGCTCGAGCGCAGGACTCGATTTTGAAATACATGGTCAAGATCATGGAGGTCTGCAAGGGTCAAGGTTTCGTCTACGGGATCATACCGGAGAAGGGGAAACCGGTGAGCGGATCCTCCGACAGCCTCCGCAGCTGGTGGAAAGAGGCGGTGCGATTCGACCACTCCGCGCCCGAGGCCATCGTCCAATTCCAATCCTCCGCCGTGCCTCCCGCAGTCGCCGCCGCCGCCGCCGCGGCTACCTACCTCCACCGCCTCAACGAGCTCCAGGACACCACGCTGGGGTCCTTGATTTCGGCGCTGATGCAGCACTGCGCGCCGCCGCAGCGGCGGTTCCCTCTGGAGAGGGGGCTGGCGCCGCCGTGGTGGCCGACCGGGGACGAGATCTGGTGGGAGCAGCAGGAGGCGGCGGCGAAGGAGCAAGGGCCGCCGCCGTACCGGAAGCCGCACGATCTCAAGAAGTCGTGGAAGGTGAGCCTGCTGACGGCGGTGATTAAGCACATGGCGCCGGATTTCCACCGGATGCGGCGGCTGGTGAGGCACTCCAAGTGCCTGCAGGACAAGATGACGGCGAAGGAGACGGCGATTTGGTCTAACGTCGTTACTGAGGAGGAAGCCCTTCTCGGCGAGCAGCTGAGCAACAGCCTCCGAATTTCGGAAACAGACCCTTCTTCCTCCTCTTCCACTTCCTCCTCTGTTTTGGCGGAGAAGAGGAAGGGCAATTTCGGGAGAGAGGCGGCGGCGGAGGAGGAGGAGGTTCTGTATCCCTGCCAGAACGAAGTGTGCCCGCAGAGCAAGCCGGGGCTAGGGTTTGCAGACAAGAACACCAGATCGGGCCACCAATTGGATTGCGCTTTTTCGGAGAAGCTTCCTTTCGAGACGGACACAAGCTTGGAAACCAGCGGCAGCGATGGCGACGACTACTATCCTCTGCTGAGCAATCACAATCCGTTGCTCAGCCCGCCGATGGTTACAGCTCAAGCGAGTAGCGAGCTGAGCGTGACCGATTGGGCTAATATGGTGCTGGAAAGTGTTAATGTCTACGGCGGAGGCGAACCGTTGTCGTCGATGGAAACAGGGGAAGCTTCGGAGTACTGGAGTGGCAGCGGTAGCGGAATCGATGAACTGGGATTGCCGCAGGAAACAACAGGGTTAGGGTTTGGAAGGTCGGAGCATGAATTGGACTTGAATATGTATCCATCACTGTTGGATGATCATAATCACAATAACGGTGCTGATTCAACATCAATCTGGGATTTGGGTTATGTGGAACCAACTAGCCCCAGCTAAAATCTAATCAAATGAAGCAAATGCGGGAAGAGGGTTTCACTGGAATTCGGTGCATTATATCGACATGGTTGCACATGAATGAGAGATTGAGAATTGGAGGTTTACAGAGGGAGACCTAGTTTCAGTGGGGGAAATGCTATTCAAGAGTCAAGAAGAGAGTCTATGTATATGTTGTTCCCAAGAGGGTAACCCTTTTTTCTGTTGTTTTTGGGATGATATTAGTTAGTTAGTAGCCATAGAAGTTGTGTCTTTGGAGGTTACTACAGTCATTATCGTATCGAACTCTTGGAGCTGTACAACTATAGCCTTTCCTGAACCTGTTGTTGCTGTTTCTTGTAGCACTCATTTCCACCTCTACCGAGAAGATTGCGCAAACCGGTCTGTGATCCGAATATCTGTACTCCACTCTTATGTACGACATTTGCTCCACCCCTTCTCCGCGCCATAGCACTCGATCGCACCTGCGCAGAAGTCATCATCATCATGAACATCGTCTTCTGCACCGTTAATGCAATGTGATGATTCTGTTTGTTAATCATTACCAGGCAGGGGTTCTGCGTTTCTTCTTGTTCTTCACTGTTTCTCCGGCGTACAAATCCGAGTTGAGTGAGTACTTGTAAGTGGGAGCAAACAGAATCCTTCCTTCACAGAAGTCATCAAACACCCTCCCTGCTTCTCTCTCCATGTTAAGTTGATCCCTGTCAAGAAGGGTGTCCCATTCATTCTCTTCAAGTAGGACTTTGGTTTCCTCGTAGCTCAGCGATATCCTGTAGTTCAGGTCCCCGAACCAAAACACTCGACTGCAGGTGTTTCAACAGAAAGAAAGGGTACTGAAACCTATAAAGATTAGATGTACACAGGAATAACCAATGTGAAGAGATTTGGTGAAGGTGTGACAAACAAAGGAAAAAAGAGCAACTTACTCGTGCCCGGTGATCTTTTCCGGTGCTCGGTTGATTTGGTTCTTGCATATCTTGGGGAACTGAACGCTCCTCAGGATCTCAGAAACATCGGCATTCCTCTTCAATTCGTCGCCTTCCTTTTCCCCTGACGCCAAATGACTACACACGAAGCAAAAGCTCGTTCGGTGCAATGACATGCTTATTGCTATGCATCCCTGCAGGTTGTTTGATTGGATGTATTTAGAAGACTGACACTATTTTACCTACTTGAGTGCGTTTGAACAAGTTGACCCATATGGCAAATTCAGCTTCTAGTTCAATTAGTACCGATAACTGACCTTGTTGCCGAGGCAGCCCATGATCCCAGTCCCACATGAAGAAGTCCTGAGATGACCAATGTGCGGCACCAATTCCTTCCTAGCCCAAACCGACAGAAAAATCCCGACCATTTGCTTGGAGCTTACGAGGCTATAGACCATCTGGTTGGTGTTCGAACCAGGGGACGGTGCAGGTTCATTCGGAGGACATTCATCATCCAACCCGAAATCCTGACTCCCCATGCCGCGGTTGGTCAGCGGCCCACTGAACTCTCTCCCACGCTGCTGCCAGTCTCGTGTGGGAAGATCACTAGCACAGTTGCAGATCTTCAGAAGGCTGGCGTCTACCCTGAGGTTCTTCGTCAGGACCTTGACTGATTGCTTGTTGAAGAAGTTATGGGACTTTGCATCCTTGTTTTGAGCCTTGGATGAAAGTTGACCTGAAACTGGAGATCCCGGGTGAACGATGTTGCAGTTCATCGTCTTGTTGATCGTTTGGCTTATAAGTGCCAACCATTTTGTTGCTGGCTCGCTGTCTTCAATCACAAGCACATTTCCTGCGCTGAGAGGGACAATTTCCTGAAACCTGAATCAAGTGAGGGGGAGATCAGCTAGCAAATAATCAAACTATTAATTAGCGTTAGATATTACATTTTCTTAACCACAATCATACCCACAAATGTATAAGTCAGGAGTTTCATCTACTTGGAGGAAATCTTCGAGGTTCAAGCTGGCGTCGGGTGTCCTGCCTCCAACGTTCCATGTCGCGACATAGATCCTGATACGCTTTTGTTGGTTAATGTTAGATGGAATCATGGAATAGTAACATCAGTCTAGTCAAACCCAGAATCGACAAGCAACCGTGAACGAGAGAGGGAGTTTGTTTTTGGGGTACCGAAATTCTTTGATTTCTGTGGTTGAGGTCATGGACTGCTCGAAGTTGGACAGGTTCAGACCTTCGAGTCCAGGACTCGTCCCTCTTTCTGATGGCAATGGATACAAACTGTCATTTACCATATGTTCTTACTTATAACATGAGAGAATGATAAAAATTTCGTAACAACAATCCCATAAGATTCCACTCAACCCAATTCAAATTCGATGACCCTCCAGGCCTCTATTCCTATTCCTCGGTACTTTCTGTCAATTGATCTACGAGAGAAAGCTTAATCGGTCTAAAGTCCTGAACTTCAGAAAACAGAGTGTACGGTACCTGAGAAGTTTTTGCGCATTAAAGCAGGGGAATCCACCAACGATTTTCTCTTGGTTGTATCTTTGTTATCTTCCGGGGATGGGGTGGGGGCTTCGGCATCTGATCCAAGAATATCGTCGTTGGATCCTCCCCTGTTGATTTTCTTTGAGCTGAAGATCTTTGGGATTATTGACTGCACATAATATATATTTATCCCATTTTATGAAATCGGATCAATGTGAAAGAAAGTAATAAACGAAATTGGGTTAATCACTTGACCTTCTTCTTCTTGTCGCCACCCCTGGCAGAATTATCAGGGGTGCTAGGATTGGAGCTTGTAGGGCTCTTGGTCATCGCCTTTGAACTCATTCATGGGTTTTCTTATTTTCTCCCACCCCAGTTGAACCAACCTCGTAGGGGATTTGAAAACCAAAAGCCCACAAAATTGACAGTAAAAGATGAAGGATTCTATTGGAAAGATTTGTTCTTTTTTAATCTCTTTTCAATAAAATGAGTGGGTTCTTCTGGTTTGGTTTTTCATATCTGTGTCGTCTCCAATTCCCTTTCCTGTTTATCTTCTTCTGTCAAATGTTTGAACAATCTGATTTTCTGTCGTTCTAGGGCTGCTTGTGCAACGAAATTTTTTTTTTTTTTTTTGTTAGAAACTGGCGCCAATAGTTTCGGGAGGAACTAAGATTGAAACCAGGAATCGTACGTGGAAGGAAGAGTCTCCCAAAATCAGAGAGTATACAAAAATAATTTCAACACCATGGACTAGGATATTACTAATAGTAGTTCGATACCGAAAACAATTTTGTGTTGGGTATGTGCAGACTAGGGTGTACGTATGATAGTCTAAAATCGAAAGATTGTGTTAGAATTAAGGTTCAAGAAGGTGCTAGGCAGGTGTTGGGTTCCTGCCAAGCGCCTAGGACACTTAGGCGTCCGCGGCGCCTAAACGTTTTAAGTAATAAATATTTTTTACATACGACGATATTGAAGAATAAGAAAGAAAGTTGGGTCGACCGAAGTTGGTTACTAATGAGAGAGGAACTGAAGTAGTACAAATGGTGACATGGTTTTGGTTGTTTAGCCGTCAAAGCAGGTTAAATGGAAAATTATCTAAGTTTTCGTCACAGTATAAGCCCATGCCTAGGGGCTGGGAATAACTTCCTACTCCAAACCAAACAAAATAATACAAAAAAGGCGTAATATAGTGACAAAAACACATTCTGTGTATATCTTGAGCACATAATTTAAACACTTACAATATTCATGTGAAATATAATGAAAGCTACTAAAGATCTGCATTAATGGAAGATGAAAATGTATCAAATATATGAGAGTGATAAACACTATGAACAAAAAGTTATCAATCATCAACATAAAGTGAGATGCAATAAATATGGGGTACATTGTTCATCTTGAAGCCAATGAGGTGAGGCATAATGAGCGTGAGTCGCCATGTCTTAGTCATGTCATCCTTTTTACACTATCCAAAGTTAAGGAGGAGTTACGTACCCAAAAAAGGGGGGGTCAAGACTAAGGAGGGAAGGGAACCACCGTAGTTGAGAGGGTAACTATCTCTCCACGTCAATCGAGTAGTTTCACAAAGAATTTACTTCTTGTGGTTATAAATAGGAGGTGAAGATGAAAGATGAATTATTCGCCAAATTCACATCAGACAATCATTTTTACTTTTTTTTTCTTATGTGAATTACATTTATCCTAGTTGTAGTTCTGAAACTCTCTCATTACACCTCTATAGAGTAGGTTAAAAAGAGAGACGTTATGAAATTAAGTAGCACAACTGAGCTGATGAGAGAGAGAGAGAAAAAGATAGATATATAATATATGTATCCTCAAGTAGCTAGAGATGCCTTCATCTGAAAAATCCCAATGACGAGAGTACACGGAATTAATACTGAAAAATTATTCAGAAACCAACAAGCTATATTGATCATCATCACTCATGATGATATTCATCATTAATTAATAATAAAAAAGCTAATAATCAATTGGGTGAATCGATGATCTCTAGAAATCAGCGTAAAGCAGTTGGTGGACGAGCTCCTTACAACCCTCCTCCGCCTCATCCTTGTAGAACCCCATGGCGTTGGCGAAGTGGAGGTTGGAGACGGCGCCGTTTGACCGGGTCAAGATCACCTCCGAGTTGCACCGCCCACTGTCGGGGACCTTGCAGTATCCCCATGGGCTGCTCACCAGCACGGTCCGGCACAGCTGGTCCTCGTGGTCGTCCTGCACCGTGATCTCGTACCGCCCGTGCTCGTTCGTCACGGCCGTGTCGCTGTACTTGAGGTCCATCGTCTTCCTGTCGTAGCACTTGATCGCCACCATCGCACCTGCATATAGTACATATTCACACAGCGCAGCTGGTCTCAATAACTCGAGTTGTTACACAGTACGTACAGTTCTCTCGCGGCAATATATAGTAGTACGTTACCGGGGATGTAAGTGGTCTTGTTGGTCTCGAAGCCGCAGCGGCAGGTGTCGCAGTAGACGCGGCCGCGGATGATGAAGGGCTTCCCGACGTACTTGGAGGTGGTCAGCGTTGGCAGGACGCATAGGAGGGCTAGCAAGAGTAAGCTCCACCGAGCGATGGACGCCATGGCCGTTGATGATTGGTGGATGAACTGGGGGAAACTGTGAGTAGCTGGAAAGGAGAAACAGATTGAGATGAGAGGGTGGTAATGGTGGATTGGTGGTGGAGGTGGTGGGGATTAGGTTTAATTATATATCGGGAGTGTAAGTAAGACTAAGCAGTCGTGGGTCACATGGTGGGAAGAATGAGAAGTGGCGCTTCTTCTGCCGGTTTTATTTCCTCTTCCATTTCTCGCTGCATTCAATTCCTTGTCGGGTTTGTTTACCCAGTTAATAATGTGCAGACTTGGAAATTAAGAGAGAAGGAACTAGGAAGGGAAGCTGCTTGTTTTTATGGAGTCGAGGATGCGATCCGGTTTTGTTTATTTTCTCTAATGGCAATGGCGCTAGAATTTGGAGGGAAGGCATGCATGTGAGAGGCACGTGCATTAAGGCCGGCCAGATTTCCGTTTGGGGGTTTGACCTGCGTGCTGGATCTGAGATCCGAGGAAGTCCAACTTGATTCCCAAACTTCGATGGATGGTTTAGCAGCTTTGGAACTTCCACTACCTACTAGCAGGAATGGCAATAGGCAGGTTCGGGGCAGGTATCTCGATATCTATACCCGTCCCATGGTAGGTCGGATTCGATTGGGTAATTTATTATTGGGAAGGGTCGGGGTAGGTCGACCCATTGGTTATATAATTTATGCGAAAAACATTAGAATTATTCGTTATTTTAATTAAAAGACCAAGAAAGAAACATTAATTTGATAAAATGTAGTTAAGTTATTGGAGAAATTGAGTTTTTCACTTATTTACAACTTTATTATACCTAAAATATGATACAATAAGAGGAAAATCCTAAATAATTTGACTAAGATTACATGTAATTTAGACAAGAATGGGTCTAGAATGGGGCGGGTCAGGGCAGGTTGGGTTGATGAGAGGTACCCATTCCCGCCCCGCCCCGCCCCAAAACAAGTCAAACAGGTCGGGTAAATCGGGTCAGGTCGAAATTGTCATCCCTAGCTACTACTCTGGTGTTCTGACTAATAAACGATATATGATTCATAATTGAATATCTTTCAACAACTCGAGTATCGTGATCAATTGATTTTTTATATGGTATCAGAATCTTCTATGATCGAAATGTCTCTTGTTCGAATCCCGATAAGCTCCATATGATTTTGTTAAGCACATGGTGTCCGGACCTATGCCTGTGCAAACTCGCTCCAGCCTATCTGAGTGACTTGAGTTTGAGGGGGTGTGTTAATAACGTTATATAATCCATAATTAAACATTTTCCAACAACTCGAATAATTGAGATCAACTGATTCTTGACACCCTCTCCATAGTGTAACAAACAAGTTCTTGGTTGGATCAAGGCATGCGTATGGAGGGCCATATCGTGAAGAAAATGCTCAAGTAGAATTGATTATTTATATGATAGTCACGAATTGTTACAGTAAGTAACAGTACAGGTGGAAAGATAGAAATCCTTTCGAATTTCATTAATTTTACAACTTATATATGATTTTTTCCTAGAATGGTATGGTAGATTGTATTTATTAGAAAACAATAATCACTTTTACCTAACAATTTTTTAACTAACTGGAGGCCATAATATTGGGATCGGATGGGTTACTAACCCCCTACACTGTTAGCACCTTGCTAACCCTGTAGTACGGTTGCGTTTTGTACTTTTGCCTGATTAAAGGAGTTATGCCGCCAGAGCATTTTCGTCAATTGGATTATTTGATGATGGCAGGCCATGAAACCAGGCGGATACGGATGCGGTTTTTGTGGTGGGATCCCAACAGTCAAAAGCTTGAGTTTTTTTTATCTTCCCTCTTTACTCTGTAGCGGTCGGAGTTCTTCCCCTAGCGAAGCCGCCGATTTGTTGCAGTCCTTCCCGGCTTTGAAGGCTCCGTCGCCAGCGGCCTTTGTCAAGGTTGTCTCGCCTGCACTACCCTCCACTCTTCCCACCTCGTCGCCGCCCTCCGCTCTTCCCACCTCGTCCCCCCCCCCCCCCCCCTCGCTCCTCCGATCTCGTCGCGACCGTAGACACCTTCGACGGCCTCACTTTCAGCCGATCTCGTCTTCGTTCCGGCCACCGCCTTAGGTAGTAGTCAAACCTCGTCAATCGTCTTTCTTCTTCTCTTTTGGGCGCAATTGGATGTCACCGCCCTGACTCTGATTTTTTTTTTTTGGATCAAGATCTGCCTTTTAGGGAGGTTGCGTGTAGGTTTCTGGATCCTTGCTTCGATTTGGTTTTTGATCGCAGTGAGATTAATTTTCTTTTTCTTTTCCGACGATGTTCAGTTTGCAAATAAGACGGTGAAGAGTCTAGTATATTCAGGTGGTAGTGTTTTCGCGTGTGATTAGTAGTGTTTCGTTGGTGGTGATTCGTGTTAGGTTAGACCTGACCGCCAAGTGAGTCAGGCCTTTTAGGCTGGTAGTGATTCGTGTTCTGATTAGTAGTGCTTTTATTTTGGTTTGGTATTTTTTCCTAAATGAAGGAGTAGTATTTCCCTTGTTTGTCATTTCTAGGGGTGGTAATCGGTCGGTATCGGTTAAACCGGTTACCGTTTGACCGGTTATCGGTGTACCGAAAATTCCAATACTGCTATCGTTTTCCGATACCGAGTATATTTCGGTAAACCGCTTACCGATTGGGACGGTGTCGGTTTTTGAGCCGGTTTCCCGAGTTACCGCAGTCCGCAAAGGTCTCTTCGACTTCCAATCCTCTATCTGACCTTCACGACACCATTCTCACCTCGACCTCTGGACCTGCAGGCTGCAACCATGATGACGGAAATATAGTCTCCCTACTCTTACATATGTGTTGCAAGATTTGCATGATGGATTTGGGGTGGGGGATTTTTTGGGCTAAAGTCGATGGCGGTGTTCTTGAAGAGTTGAAGATGAAGAGATAGATTTGGGCATTTGGCGTCTCCATCATCGCCGTTTTCAGAGAGATAAATCGGGGAGGTAAATCGCAGTAAATTGGGGAGATAGATCGCAGTCAATCGGAGTCACCGCCATCACCGTCGGCCTATGTCTCTAGCTCCATTGTCAATCCGCGCTCCCGCCACTGCTGCATGTCACCGCCGCGTTCCTAATCACTGGCCAAGCGAAGCAAATCAGGCAATGAGAGCACCGGATCTGATTCTGCGTTCGGGAGGGAGAGCGAAGCACTGGATCGGCTTCTGGTTCTCCACAATGGCAGAGGTGACGGCGGCAGAGGTTACAGCGGCAGATGACAGAGTATCCGGGACGGGTGCCGGCGCGGAGGCGGTTGGTGGAGGCAGGGAAGGAGATGCTTACATAGCGGGGTCACCTCCCGTGGCGTTTCTTCCAATTGAGAGAGAAGAGAAGGAGCGGGGAAGGAGACGAAGAGAAGAGATTAGAGAGAAGGTTTGGCGGCGGGAGTGAGGCAGGCAAGCAGGGGAAGCGAGTTAATTAGGTTTGGCTCGGTATTCTCGGTATTACCGGGAAACCGACGGTTAGATACCATATATATCTCGGTATACCAATAGTTGAAATGTTGCTACCGTGTACCGGTACCGGCGGTTAACCGGATACCGGCGGTTACCGGTTCGGTATCCGGTTAAACCGTTAACCGGACAACCGGTTACCACCCCTAGTCATTTCCATTCCATTTCCATTCCCATCTGATCCCCAGGAGTATGCCCCATGTTTGGTCTTATGCAGAAGTATTTCCATTCCATTTCAAAAACAGTATTTTAAAAACTCTACTGACTTGCAAAACGCTACACATGCAATACCCTACACAAGCATTAGCACGCCATTCCCAAAACGCTACACACGCATTCGTAAAAATCACTACTACCAAAATATTACACTTCAATATCACAACACTACATATTCTCAATTCAAACTTCAACAAAAACACTACCATAGGTACACATCAAACCACCAGTAAAGACCCTACATATTTACAACAACGGTGATCAATAAAAACACTACAATTTAGTTCCCTAAAATGGAGACCCGTATGCAAAAAATAAAAAATCTTAACCGTCCCAAATCCCTAAAAATCCGCCCCACTAAAACAAACATATTTAATTTAAAAATGGAAATTAATAATTAATGTTGATTATCCCTAATTTATCCTTAGTGTTTTCTTAATCATTAAATTAGAAGTAGATTTGAACGGTGTAGATTGAGGTTAGGACGGTGCTAACCCCTATGGGGTCAGCACCCTAGCTTTTCCCCCATAATATTAGCTGTCGTTAAATAGTAAATGCACTTACCTAGAGTACCATTAGTCCATTACTAAATAGTAGATGCCGATAAAAAAATTACCACCATGATATACTATGTAAGGACTTCCAAGTCTGTATACTCTAATATCCAAGTCTGTATGAACTGATATCCAAGTCTGTTGAGTATCTAGATAGCACAGACTAGTACTATAAACATCACAAACTAGTATCCCGATAGCATATACCAACTAATATCCACAATTAACCAATTAGTATTCAATATGGATACTCTTATGTGTTATCTGGATACTAATTATGTGTTGTATGGATACTATTCTGTGTTGTCTAGATATTAGTTTGTGAATTTGGGATAATAGTTGATTCATGGTGGATATCAGTTAGCAAACTTTGAATAGTAGTCTATGCTCTCTAAATACTTTAGTACTTGGATACTAGTTCATGTATTTTGAATATCAGTTAGTATCTGCTAATGAATTTTCAAGTTAGTAGATTAACTTTTCCCGTTAATAAATGGTATATGATCCATAATTAAACATTTCCCAACAATTCAAATTATTGGCATCAAGTGATTCTTGACATCACCTCCATAGAGTAATAAGCAAGTTCTTGGTTGGATCAAGGCATGTGTATGGAGTACAATATCGTGAAGAAAAATGCTTTCTTTTGGTAATTCAAGTAGAATAATTGACTATGTAATTGTTAACTTTAACTAGCTAGTTCTGTACTGCGACAAAATTACACTCGTTCGATACATTTATATGGTAGATGATATTTATTAGAAAACAATGATCACTTTTACCTAACAATTTTTTAACTAATTAGTGGCCATAATATTAGTTGTGTCGTTAAATACACTTGCCTAGAGTACCATTAGTCCATTACTAATTACTAATTAGGGGTGGCAGTACGATTGTCAGTTAGCGGCTAACCGACCGATTTAATCGATAATTACCAATTAGCGGCTAACCGAAATTTGACTCCTAATAATTCTCGGTCAGTGGTCGGAGTGGATGGTAGGAGTTTCGGTTAGCCAAGTAATTGAAACCGATTAACTAGCTAACCGAAGTACCGACCGAGGGTTCCCACCAAAGACACTGTTCCCCCCTCCCCACAACGCCGTTCCACAAAAATTCTATCCACCTCCACCAAAATGACCCCTCTCCTTCATCACCTGTCACCAATCCATTCACCAACCGCCCCACCCTACCCTTCCTCTCTTCTTCATGTTCCCAGTTCCCCTGGCGTCACCTCCTTCCTCACCACCAGACCGGCGTCGGCCCATCGCGGGTCCTCCGCCGAGCGCATCAGCCTTTGTCGTCGTGCTCGTCCCGCCTCGGCCTTCGCTCGTCCTTTCTTTTTCTGCCTCCGCCGTCGAGCTCCACGCCACCAGCCACTCCTCCACTCCTCCGCCCTCACACCCGCCTTGCCGCAGCTCGTCGTCGTCGAGAAGAGACAGGGAGACAGGCGACAGTAGTACAACATACAAGCACCTCCCCGATCGCCCTTCACACTCACCTTCCCAATCACCCTTCGAAATCGGGATCTGCAGAAGAATGAGGCTAGCGGTGCCGATAGATCTTAAGACTGAAATAGAGATTTAAAGGAAGGATCGAGAACTTTGGAGTTAGAGATAAGGATTGGGCGGTAGACGAATTTCCATTTTTTTAATGAACTTCCCTTAAGCGACACCGTTTTGGAGAGAAGGGGTATTTTTCGGGTATGCGACTAACCGAGCCTAAAACCGAAAACCAACCAGTCGATTGACAGTTAACCGTGAACCTCTTCTTGGTCGGTTTTCGGATGGTCCAGGAAGTGTTTCGGCTAACTGATAACCGGGTTTTCGATTTTTGGTTTTCGGTTAAACCAAAATTGACCGGCTGCCACCCCTATTACTACCATTATACCGATAAAAAAAAATTACTACCATGATATACTAGTTAAGGAATTCCACTTAATACATGAGGGTAAAGCTGTAATTATGAGAAAATAATAGCGATAGACTAGTCATTTCGATTGTTCCAATCAAGAGGCGTCGGTCTGACATTGAGCAAATCTCAATTTAGTTTGGGCTTTCTTTTTCACCATGTTGCCGCTGCACTTCTTTTTGAGCATCCGATTCATAAGGCATTCCAATCCATCTGCCAAAACTGGACTTTCGTCATCACCCAAGTCGGGGAAGGCAAATTTGGCTCGTGTGCCCGAAAAATGGATGTAGGAAAGTTGGATAGGAAACTAGGGATTGCAACGAAAAATATTCGGGGACGAATAGTGAATGAATATTCATTTGCACATTTTTAGTTCTACCTAGTTTAAGTTTTGTTCATAATTATATTCCTACAAAGTCCCGACAGTAACTCAAAATCATACACATTTGTTTCAATTTGGAGTATCTATGAAGACTCTTAAGCTGGTCCCAGATCGAAAGCCGGCATTCTTGGTGAACCTGGAATATTGCAATAAGCCAATTGGTTGCCAGAAGTGTAGGGTGTTTGGGCATCAGTGTGAGAATTCAGGGGGTGAGGGGGAAGGGGATCAGGGAATTCAGGGGAATATAGAGATTGGAGGTGTAGAGGCTGTTGCTGGAAGTGCTGGGCAGCTGATTCTGGACTCTATTCTTGCTTTGAAGGGGTGTGTGCTGTGGAGTTGCCTACTGAGAGTGAGCTTCAGAGCTATGGTAGGGCAACCAAGCTCTCCCTCTACAGGGGAGGGTCCTATCACCCTTCGATTGTGATGGTATTAGGTTTTTTAATGTTACGACTGATGGAAAGAGAGAATGGTACCCGTAGTATGCTTGTGCTATTATGTTAGTATTGGTAGTGGTAGCTTTGTACTGGTACACTTGTAGTGGCAGTTTTGTACTGTCTGGTACAATTGTATTGGTACGCATGTAGTGGTAGTAGGGATGGTAATTTGAACCCGCCCCGTCGGGTATTACCTTACCTGACCCGCGATGGGACGGGTATTACCCGACCCGCAGTAGCGTGGGGCGGGGCATGGGTATCAACTTCCGACCCGTCCTGTCTCGACCCGCCCCGTTCTTGACCCGTTCTAGGTCAATTTCTTACGTCGTCCTTTCATACATCTCCTATTTTGACTTTTCTTCAACTAGTTAGACTTGATCTTTCAACTAGATAGACTCAACTGCCTATTATATTATCACTATTATTCATTCATGAATTCTTAAAGTGAAATTCTGTGTGTATTATTTTCAAATAACATGAAATAGTGGGTCGACCCGCCCCGACCCGTAGTAGCATGGAGCGGGGCATGGGTATTGAGGTACCCGCCCCGACCCATTGCCATCACTAAGTGGTAGTTTTGTACTGGTACACTTGTAGTGGTATTTTTGTACTGGTAGACTTGTAGTGGTATTTGGGACATGATACAGTTTAAATTGTCAATTTTGACAGATGTTTCCTTATTCTGATGAGATTTTCTTACCCGTAGATTTCTTATATTAGTCCATCAAGGAGAGACAAAACCATTGGGCGATGCCAGTGCAGATGAATCGAGTGAGATAATTGATGTCCGACCATAAATACTTGATTAAACTCCATTATATTTACCATGGATGGATATCAGAGTCGAAATCTTCTACTTGCCCAGTTTAAATCACCAAGAATAAAATTGCATTGACAAGAGATACCGGAAGATTGATTTTCAAATGCGCCCTTTTATGGAAAGTGAAAACTATTGCACGATGGAAGAAATTTCGGAGGAAGTTACAAAGAGATAAGAACAAAGATTAAAACACACAGAAATTAAATTTAAATTGAAAAATGCAAGGACACGACACGTTGTAAAATAAATAGTTTCTTCCATGTTAGGCAATTACCAATTAACATTTAGCGAAAATATAGGAGAGAGCATGAATTTTAAAATGGATAAAATTACATGAAACTCCACTATGAAAATTGAAGTATTAAGCACCATAGAAATATATACGATAGACTTAGCGGGCATGTTAATCATGATGGAAAAGTACTCCACTTTCCAGAGTTTAACTTTGTGTAAATTTTCTATTTAAAAAGATACAACAAATTCATTTAGTGCAATTGATATTAATTGTTGTCTTTGTTTAAAGAGACTCGAATTCAAATCTTGATATTGATCTTTTTTATATGAAATAAATAATTAATTGTAAAGACGAGAATATCCTTCATAATTTCACTCTCGTTGAAATTTGAAATGAAAAAATATACACAAAACTTGTTGCAATTTGAAATGAAAAAAATACACAAAACTCTACCATATATTATTGGATGATTTCATCTAACGTGTTAGTATTTGTGACTCGCTATGACACAACTCCTAACAAAGGCCAAGTGTAACTAATGAAAGGGACTGCAGTATAGTGGCTCAAGTGATAAATATCGAATCCACGGGTCTCTAGAGTTACTATTACTCAGCTTCAGTTCATTATCTAGCAAACCAGATTAAGATAGAACAACTAAAACTACTCTAGCAAACTACAGTTAAAGTTAATCTAATTACAAGTTGGGAACTCACTTAGGTATGATTCCCCCTAGCCACTAGCCAGATTAACGATTGATGATTTCTAACTTGTTTCACTTTCATTCACAATGCGGAGAATCCTTGACTAGACCTTGAGTCTCGACTAAAGGAACAAGGCTCTCTTGAGTCAATTGCCTAGTGGGACGTATCCTTCTCTAGAACAACCGATCAAGGCGTTTTGAACTAGATTCTCTCTATCGAATGATGTTCTCAATCGATACAAAGCATTGAATCAACCCTCTACTAAAGCAATCTATCCACTACTATCAATCTATGGTGCTCTATTGACCTAATCAGGTATTCGCTCTCATAGGATCAAAGCAGAATCAATAATCTCGACTAAAGCATAATTGAATCATGAAAACATGCATAGATTGAATATGAACTCAAGATTATAAAGTCAGAGTACTCATACAATCATCCAATCAAACAAACATAGCTAGGGTTCCTCAAAACCTAAGTGAAGGGAAGTTACTCCATAGAGAAGAGAGAGACTGCAGTAAGAATCTTCAGATGATCAGTCTTCAAGTCTGGGATTGTTCCTCGAGCTTCTAAGGCGAAGAAATCCTCCAATTCCACTCTTAGAATGCCCTCAAATAGCCCTCTCTCTTTGGTTCGTCCCTTGGGTGTTTGGGATCCAAAACCCAGCTCCCCCCTTCCTTTGGCTTCAATCTGCCTAAAAAACCCGATTCTGGGCAAAACACGGTCTAGGGCACGGTCGTGTTTTGCTTTTGCCCGCCTATGTTTTGCCCCGTGTTAAAAACACGCCCGCGCGCGTCGGCCAAAACACGGTCGTGCCTAAATATGGGCACGGTCGTGTTTTGATTTAGGTGCGCTCGTGTTTTTACTGCCGAACATGTTCCCCTATATTCAATGCTTCGTTTCTCCCTCGTCCGGACTCCGAATCAGTCGCCGTTTGGTCCCAGACGCTCGTAGTATCGTCCTATTTCTTTTCATGACAAGCTTGCATGATTATTTATCCATAAAGTAAGGTATAAATCCATTCTTCTTCAGGTCATGCCCGAGTTTCTTCTCCCTAATCGCCAATTGATCTCTGATTGACTTGAAACTTGCGCCTATGCTTCACTTTATGTGCTAGGACCTGAAATGTGACAAAGAAACACAACCTAGCGTAAAATGGGCTAAAGACGCGATAATTAAAGCTCAAATAATCAAGAAACAAAGGGGAAAACATGTGAAAATATCGAGTCATCAATTTGTAAGTATATTAACAAGTGAAAAGGTTCAATAACAAGTGAAATAATAAAACAGAACATGTATTCATTGAGATGTTTTATATATATGTGGTAACGATTGGTCTACTCTTGGAGTATATCATACTCCAAGTGTTTTGCCTGTTAGATGTACTTCATTGTGCTTCTGCAAATCACGTCCATAGGTAGGTGAGAACAAAAATTGGTCTCAGTTAGGGAAAGTTCTTCAATAATCTATTCGCGAAAGACTGGAGTCACTGGTACCTAAACCCGTGCCCCAATGGGATCTTTGGGCTTTGGTACCTAAACTCCGAACACCTGCCATACAAATATTACCTCTTTCATCTCTTACCACAACCCCAAAGCCCGATCCATGATTCGTTAGAGTCGTCATGTCAGCATTTATCTGGAAAAATCCAGCCACAGGCTTCATCCATCAGTGTACGAGAAATTCACCGAACTCGCCTAAGTCGATTAAGTCGATTGAGTCACTATGAGAAAGCAGATGAGAACGAGAGAGCGGAAGAAACCCTAGGCCGAAAAGGGAAAGTAAGAGAGAGATCAAGAAAATATATCCTCTGATACCATGTTGGTTCTTGTAAGAAAACATGTCTACTTTTATTATTGATCAAAACGGTGAAAAATTACACGGTCTTATTACGTATATATATTGTATCTGTAAAATAACTAAGCAATACTACAACAAACAAACATTACAAATCAGTCCCTATACTACTAATTCGTTACATTTGAATCCTCCAACATAGTGGGATCTTTGTTCATTAGCCACGATATGTCTCTCTTTTAGCATCTTATATTCATCTAGCCGTTGGACAGTCCGATCCGCGATTTCTCATTTATCTTTCTTTAATTTGTTCCATAGGTGACAATTACTCTCGTCACAGATAAACCGGAGGGCCATAAAAAATTGACCAATTTCGACTTTCCTGAAGCTCACACTACCATCCATTCTTCACACATAATTGTCTCACCCTCCCTGAATAAGTGTACTTGATACTTTGATTACCGGCATATATCTATTTTATTCGATAAAGCATCATTCGCTAATATATTTAGACCGTATTAATACTCATGGGGTTGTTTGGATGGGGAAATGTTTAAACAAGGAATTTAGACTTAATTCCCTCTTATTAAAAATCAGAGATTTTAAACAAGGGATTTGGCCAATTTATCTGTTTGTTTACAGATAAGAATTTCATTAATAAGAAATTCATTTATATTGACACATATCAAATTACGAATCTACCATTTTCAACACATTTTGCACCTAACCCCACCTCTTTTCCTCCTCTCAATGGAGACAACCATCGCCGCCCTCACTTCCCCAATTTGGGTTCTTGTTGCCGGTTACCAGATCCACCGCACTCTACTCTTGTGAACCCAGATCCGCCGGAAGAAAGGAAGAACCAGAGCGCCATGGTACAACTCGTTGGTCCTGCCGTCTCCCCAGTCCCGGACCCTCCCCCGAAACCGCCATCCAGCGCATTGTCGACAAGCTCCGCTCGGTCGGATTCTCCAAGGACGACTCATCCTCCTCCGGGTTGGACCGGAAAATGAAGAATTTCAGTTCCAACCCAGGCGGAATCTTAATCCCAAGCCTAATGGCTTGCCCAAGCACCAGGTGGTCACACTCTGGATCCTAGCTGGAGCATCGCCCCACCCCCCTCCCCGAAAAAGTACATGCGCAACCAATTAGCAGAAACAAAGACTTATTAGTGTCCACTTAAGTAATCTCAACTCTGTCAGGTGGAAATGAACACAGGATGGCAGCAGAAGGAATTGATGAAGCTAAGAGAAAGGAATTGAGGTGTGGGCGTGGTCACCATTGGGATCAAACGACGCCTATTTGGAATCTTTGTCCGTTATGCACAATCCCATCCTCAAGGAAATCGCCAACGCCAAGGGAAAGTTCGTCATGGGAGAAGATGAAGGAGAAAAGAGGGAAGAGGGAAGGGAAAGGTACCCACTCTGGTCGAGCTCAAGTTGTCGTCGTCTGAGCGGTGGCAGCTGACGACGATTGGGATTGTCGAGAAGAGGAAATTGAAAGTCAAGAAAGCTGGGATTACTGGAGGGATAGTTAATGGGATCCACGAGCGGTGGAGGCATGCTCAAGTGCTGAAAGGAAATGAGTCGGGAGCGGTGGTGGAGGAGGATATGGTGGTGGGAGGAGGAAGAGAAGAAATGAGATGATTCAGGGACACACTGGGAAAAAAGCCAAAAAAATTGGGACCGAAGGCTAGCAGCCATTTCTAATTTCAGACTGGGGATTCAAAATTCCGATGGCTCAAATCTCGCCCTCTTTTTTAGCTATTCAAAACCGAGAATGTTTTAAATTCCTGGACGGACGAGTATTTGGGCCAAATCCCTGTCCAAATTACTAGATCGAAACGACCCCTTGAAATATTCTAGTAGCATAAGAGAAGAATAAAATAACCGGAAAAAATTCCAAGTTACACATGTTTTTTAAAAAAATTCTCAAAATACACACGTTATGAAAATAATTCCCAATCTACGCATGTTTGGGTATTCACCGCGGCAGAGAAGGGCGGTGATTGCATCACCGCTGTCGACGAAAGCAGTGAAATGCTTCAAAAAAAATTTCGCTACGATTGGATAACCGAGCACAAAGTTATGTTTTTTTAAAGTTTTGACGCAGGTCAGGCCTTCACCGCCTTTCTCTAGAGCGGTGATGCAATCACCGCCTTCCTCTATAGTGGTGATGCAATCATCGCCCTTCTTTCACGCGGTGATGCAATCATTGCCTTGCTCTGACGCGGTAAAGCAATCACCGCCTTGCTCTGAC